GTATTTTTTCTAATATGTGGAAGCTAAAAAGAAGGGAGAGAAAGGGCATCTTGTGAAGATAGAATAGAGAGCAGTAGAGAGGATGGGGTTTAGAGAAATGGAAGAGGAAAGGGAAAGAAGAGTTGCTATATGCAKGTGCAAATATATCACAATGAAGCGTGCTACTCAATATAATTCTTTAACAAAAATATATTTTTAAAAAACAGATGTTGATGACAAGTCTGGAGAAGACTGCAAAAAGGAGACCGGGGAGAAGTCATCTGGGTTTCAGGACCTTACTCTGGATCTTTTAGTCAATGATCCACTGCTCCAGAACCTAAAAGTAGCTTGAGTATCTTAGGTTGTAGGCAGCCTACACCTTCATAATTACCAAGGGAGACCAGGGCTTTCTAGGGTCCAAGGTACTTCAGAAGATCTGTCAATGAAGGAAAGTATTTCCAATTTGGGTTCAGAGTGAGTGGTGGTCAAGATCTCCAGTTTCTATCTAAAAATGGTGGTGACTAGTGTTCCTTCAAAGTTACATTGGAAGCAGCCAGCTAAAGTGATCAGATGTATAATCATTATAGCCCTCTGTCCACATGGACCCTAAACAGAAATTTTGTGCATCCTTGAAATAAGTTCTAATCTACACAATGGGGTCTCTGGTAGCAACTAGAAATCTCTGTTTAAAAGAAAAAAAAATATGTGAAATAAAACAGTTCAAAGAATTTATCATTTTGATAGATGTTCTAGGAATTTATTTTTATTATTCCGTGTATGTGTGTTTTAGCATAGTAACTGTTTATTATGATAAAATTCACATAACAGCATGTGACATTGATCATTTTAACCAATTTAAAAATGTACAATTCAGTGGAATTAATTATCATCATGATGCTGTATGGTTTACACCACTCTAGTTCCAAAATATTTTCATCATCCCAAAAGGAAACTCAGTACCCAGTAAACAGTGGCTTTTATTCTCCTCCCCCATCCCCTGGTGACCATCAATCTGTATGAATTTGCCTAATCTGTATGCTTCATATAAAGGCAGTATATTATATGTTATATAAAATATGACCTTTTGTGCCTGGCTTCTTTTCCTTAGCATTTTTTGAGGTTCAGTTGCTTTCATGGTTGACTAACACTTCCATGTATTGGTATACCTTATATTGTTTTTCCATTCGTCAGTTCATAGACATTCAGAATGTTTCCACCTTTTGGCTTTTGTAAATAGTACTACTATTAACATTTGTGAACAAGTTTTTGTTTGAACATCTGTTTTCAATTAGATTGGGTATGTACCTAGAAGTGGAATTGTTGGGTGGTATGTTTAACTTATTGAGGAACCACCAAATTCTTTTCACAAGGACTGCACCTTTTTACATTGCTGCCAGCAATGTATGAGGGTTCTAATTTCTCCACATCCTCTAAGACTTGTTGTTTTCTGTTTGGATTTCTTTTTCCTCKTTTTTAAATAGATAAAATTGTATGCATTTAGTGTATGCAACATGATGTTTTGAAGTACATTTTTGGAATAGYTAAATTTAATTAACATAGGCATTACCTCAAATAGTTTTCATTTTATGATGAAAACACTTTATATCCATTCTCTTAGCATTTTTCAAGAATAGAATAAGTTATTAAATATACCCACCATGTTGTACAATAGCTCTCTTGAACTTATTTCCCCTAACTAAAAGTTTCTATCCTTTAATCAATCTCTCCCCAACACTCCCCCACATTCTATAAATTTTTAATAAACATGTATCAAATATAAATAGTAAGTCAGTAGATTTCATGTTCTAGTGTCTTCAGAAACAATGTGAGGCTGGCTGTTTTTTAGTAGAAATACTAGGGCCACACACTAACCCCAGAAATTCTAATTCAGTAAATGATGATTTTATGACACTCTTCAGTTTGAGAATCACTGAGTTAAATCATTAAATGCTTGTGCAAATATATAAGGAATGATATTACAACTTTGTTGTTTTGTTTTCTTTTTTTAGATTTCTGAACAAAGAATGTATTCACCATGATTTTTCTTATGTGATTGACAAGTAAGGAACATTAGCACTGAGTTTTTTATTAATGTTATAATAGTAATTTATAATCAGTACTTATTCATTGAATCCCTGTTAATGTCTATGTGTTTGGCTTTATACTTTATAGTCAGTTTCAGTATTAAGCCAAACATGTAGACAATATAACTAACCTCTGAAATATACAAGAGAAAGATTTAGTCATAATCTCCTCCTTCAATTTATTTCGATAAACAAAGCAAGCCTCATATTTAGTCTCTAGTTTCAAAATCATTCCCTCTAGTTTAAGGAAGATACAGAAGATTATTTTTTTTCTAACATMATTTTTCTCTAATTCTAGTAAAGGATTTACCAGGAAAGTCCTGACACCAAATAGTCTAGTGACGGAACTTCTATACTATATTTTGTATTTAATTTTACATATTTTAATAATGTTATTTATTGAAGACATAACTAAACAAAATATTTTACTTTTGTAAAATAAAGATCTTTGTAAAAATAATCTTTAAATATATACAGGTCTATCAAAAGTATAGAAGTCCACAGCCTCTAACATACTTATAGGAATCTTTTAGAAGTTATGAAATTTGGGGTTGGGTGTGGTGGTGCATTCTTATAATCCCAGTGACTTGGGAGCCTGAGATAGGCAGATCACAAGTTCCAGGCCAGCATGGTCAACTTAGTAAGAACCTGTCTCAAAATAAAAAATAAAAAAAGACCAAGGATGTGGCTCCTCAATGGCAAAGCTGCCCTGAAGTGATTTAACTTCAAGACAGGATGGAGAGGTGGGGGAGTTTACATGCTCTAGGTTGCAATGCTTGGTATAGGCAGTGGGTGAAGTAGAAGGGATGAGGAGAAAATGTGTAGTAGTTGGTGAAGGCACCACCTTACAATGTCTAGGTGGCAGCTGGACCTGACAAGTAAGAATATGAAATAGGTTATATCCACCATGGCAGGAATTTCTTGAGTCTCTCTCCTGGAGCATGGTTTAGACACATAGAACAAGTGAGAAGTGACAAGTGATTCAAGTTAGAGACTGACAAGACAGAAAATATGTGAGAGAATGTGGTTTTAAAGGAATAAACTCTTGAGTTCATGAAAGGGGAGGAGAACTGCAACGGAATAGAGCAAAGAACATGGACTTGATAATCATGCRACTTCTTAGTAGTAAGGCAAGATTTGTAGCCTTGAACAAGTTTTGTACAACTTCTGAGAATGATGCCATACATACAAATGAAAAACAATAATTCATACCTTTTGTTGTTACAAGAATATGTTAATATGTGTAGAAAGTACCTGAAACATAATTAAGCACTCAACAGTTTATGCTTATGTTTACCTATTTGACTTTCATGACATCTTCTTACCTAAGCAAAGTGTTGGTCTTACTTTTTTATGTTTTAAAAAAGGAGAGAGAAATAAATAGTGAAGAATGTCTTTTTTTTTTTTTGCAGGTCATATCTGAGAGATAAACCACCTAAAAACTTGGTAAGAAAATTGTAATTTTTGTCAGTGAGTCAAATATATACAATAACTAAAGTACTCTTCCTTTTCTAGAAAATAAGCTATAACTGGTCACAATATGGTTGCCCATTGAGACTTGATTCCAGAGAAGAGTTTCAACCTTTCATTCAATTGTAAGTTTATCATTAGAATTTTTAACATATTTTATAATTTCAAAATAGAAGTTTGAAAACAAGAGTAATTACTCTTGCACGTAATAATAAACTTTTTTGAGTACTCAGTTCATGCAAGACTTGGTTTTCAGTATTAATTATATGAAGTTGGACAAACGGCTTCTGCATGTTGAGAGAGGTTACAGTTTAGCCACTGTGACATAAGAGGGTAAGAACTGAGAGCCCTCTCAGGCATGCAGCAACCCTCCCTTTATCCTCTCCAAATGTCTCCCCAGGCAACTCCTGCCTGGATACTGCCTTATGAAGGTGACATGACTTCTCTTCTCATAAGCTTATAATAAGTGGAAGTTTGTAAGGAAAGAATTTTGAGTACTCATATTGAGGAGATCTCAAAAATATCATCGCTAACTTTACTCATGCGTGTGTGTGTGTGTGTGTGTGTGTGTGTGTGTGTATGTATGAACTGAACTCAAGGCATGGTGTATGCTAAGCACATACTCTACCACTTATCTGTAGCCACTGCCCCTGATTTGGTTCTTTTATTCTTGATTTATGACTATAAAAGTTAAACAGATTATTACAAAATTTAAAATACAGAAAAATGTAAGAAGTAAATGACCGTGTTTCTAAATGTTCTGTTATTATAAACAAAATTATGTTGAATATTTGTTTATGTACATGGATAGTTGGACACTAGTCCAGTTATGCCATTAGGATAAGCTATCTGAAGTGAAGTCCCTGGGTCTAAAACATCAAAAGTCTAGTGACAGCTTTCAGATTTGGAGGACCACTTAGGCCAAAGACAATGTGAATCTCTCAGGGTGGATAGGTGTAGAAGTAATGAATCCGGTGCTCCAATTTAGTTTTGTTATCAGAGCTCTCCCCAGTTAGGATCCAGAAGGCCTCTGCTAGCATGTTGCACCCCCATTTCCATCTTCCTGCCCCCAAATTGCCACCCATAGCTCTTCTAAGTTTCTAACCTGTGCTCTTTCTCTCTCACATCACAGTCCTATAATCTGGTCAAAATTCTCTGTACTCTCAGGCTAAACTGTCATCTTCCTTTGTTTGGTTCTCCTAAACATATAATCATACCACTGCTTTTCCTGGGCACCTAAGGCACTCTTTTTCCTACTGAGGCCTGGATTTTGTTCTTGCTTACATAATGCTTAATCCCTCAGGAGTAAAAATTTTAAATCTGGATGTCCTCTCCCACTACAGTACACTCTTTGGGTCAGTTCATCACAATTACATACCTATTTTTTACCAAGTACCGTGCCAAGCACCCTTGAAAGGCGTACAGGATTTCTACCCTCAGAATTCAAGAGTCTGATAAGTAGACAAACATATGAGTTGGTATGCTAAGCAGAATGATAGAAAGGGATGTGGCATGGGTGTTGGTATTGAAACTCAAAAGAAAAGAATCTAACCCTGCTATTGTGGGAGATGGGTTCTGGAAAATGTTCTAGAAAATTTACATTTCAGCTGAATCACTGCGTCTTAAAGTTAGCTGAGCCAAGGGAGGGAAGAGGAGAAATGGGAAGGATAATATAAATTCCACTAGGTAAGCCTTTCAAGCAAAAGTGGTATTTTAGGGAAGAAAATTTATTGTTCAACAAGTATGATGCTGTTGGAACATAAAGTGTCAGCATAATAGGCTGGTGAGCAATTCCAGTAAATTTCTATCAGGATATTTTACAGAACTTGACAATCAGACCCTAAATTTTTTATGAAAAAAAACAAAGGGCCTAAAATAGTCAAATATCTTACAGAATTCAAGTTCTAGAAATGGCAGAGTGATTTTATTTAACATAACCTCTGCCCAGTGATAATTACATGCTGTGATGTAATTATGATGGAGGGCAAAAACTGGTAGGGATATTATCCTTGAAAGAAGATTTTCCTGAGGTTACTTCCCACTATGGCTTTAACAGAAAGTGACAGTCCTAGTGGACTCAAGAGATAGAAACTGAAGTTTAGGACTGCCAAAGTAGCTATAAATTTAGATAAAAAATCTTAGAAAGGAGAATCATTTCAAGGGAGAAACAAGACTTTTGAACTGTGCATGTATGGGGAATGGCTCCTAGGAACCAAGCACAAAATAACTGTTTGGAGGTAGAGATGATAACAACTGTCTGATGCTGGGAAAGAACTACTAAAGTTTCAAATCCTAACACCTTGGAGTGGGAAACACCTTGGGCTTTCCATTGACAACAGAAGAGCCACACCTGATAATCAAGCCAAGGACAAAATGCTAAGAGTAAAACAAAACAAAAATTTTAAAGTCCTAACAAGGCTTTAAAGTAAATTTCATTAGGATCAAAGAAATCCACCAGTTAATTTATATTGCTCCCAAAACAGAAATACAACTCTTTAAAGAAAATAATAAAATCCAGCATCTCATGAATAATTTTTAATGTTCTACTCTAAATAAAAAATTACCAATCATCCAAAGAAGCAAAAAAAAAAAATGACCCATAATCACTAGAAAAGTCAATAGCAGCAGACCAGAGATGACCCAGACACTGACTGACATTTAGTAGAACAGGACTTTAAAACAGCAATTATAAATATATTAAAGAATTCAGAGGAAAAGTACAGAGTATGGCCTAACAGATGGGGAATGTCAGCAAAAAATTGCTAACTAAATAAATAAATAAATAAAAGAAACAAATTAGAATGTTAGGATTTAAAAATACAGAATTTGAAATTTAAAAATAAAGGTTTTAAAGCAAATTGAGCAAAGCAGGTAAAAAAATATTGACGAAACTAAAGGGAGCTCAATGGAAATTATTCAAAATGAACCACAGGGGGAAAAAAGTTTAATTAAGTGCCTCCACAGACTATGGACAATATCAAACAGTTGGCCTTAAATATTTTTAGAAGGAGGAAAATAAGAAAGAATGAATTTTTAAGAAATATTGGCTGAAATTTGCCCAAATCTAGTGGAAAGTATTAGCCCACAGGTCCCAGAAACTCAGTAGACCCCACACAGGATAATATGAAGACCACACAAAGGTACATCAGACAAAATGATGAAAGGTAAAGATAAAGTCATTAGAATCTGCTGGAAAATCATTCAAGAAAACACTGATAAGAAGGATAACCAACTTTTTGTCTAAAATAGGGCCATGTGACAAAAGAATGGCACTTTTAAGTGCTGATGAAAAAAAAAGAATTATTAAGTTAACTATCAAGTTAAACATAGAATTACCATATGATCCAACAAATCCACTTTGGGATATCTAACCCAAGTAATGAAAGACAAGATCTCAAATAGATATTTGTACATCAAAATAGCAGCATTATTGACTCTAGTTCGTTTTATGGAAGCAATCCCAAGTGTCCATCAATAGAAGAATGGATAAGCAAAATATGATACACAGATAGCCTCTGACCTATGAGAATTTGACTTAAAATTTTTAACTTTGTAATGGTACAAAAGTAATATGTATTCAGTGACTGTACCTCCAATTTTGAATTTCAGTCTTTTCCCAGGGTAAAGAAAGCCATTCCTTTTTTCACTTTCAGTACAGTAATTAATAAATTGCATGAGATATTCAATGCTTTATTATAAAATGGGATTTATTTTGGTGATTTTGCCCAACTCTAAGCTAATGTAAATATTCAAAGCACATTCAAGTTAGGCTAGGCTAAGCTATTATGTTCAGTAGATTAGGCATCTTAAATGCATTTATGTATTTTCAACTTACCATAGGCTTATTGGGACATAACATCAAAAGTCGAGGAGGATCTATATACACACAATAGGATATTATTTGGCATTAAAAGGGAAGAAAACTCTGAGGTATACTGAAACAAAATCTTTTTTGTTGTTGTTCTTTTTAGATTTACATAACAATAAAGAGTATTTTGACATTCTATACATACAGGGAATATAACTTCCCATTCCTGTGGTTTTATATAATGTGGAGTTACACAGGTTGTGTATTCATATATGAATATAGGAAAGTTATGTTTGATTCATTCTACTGTCTTTCTACTCCCATCCCCTCTCCCTTCCCTCCATTTCCCATGTCTAATCCGGTGAACTTCTACTCTTCCCTCCCCCACACCTCATTGTGTGTTAGCATCCCCATATCAGAGAGAACATTCAGCCTTTGGTTTGAGTGGATTGGCTTATTTCACTTAGCATGATAGTCTCCAGTTCCATCCATTTATCAGCAACTGCCATAATTTCATTTATCTTTATGATGAAGTAATATTCCATATACCACATTTTCTTTATCCATTCATCTGTTGAAGGGCACTTAGTTTGGTTCCATAGCTTGGCTATTGTGAATTGAGCTGCTATAAATATTGACATGGCAGCCTTACATCAAAATTTTGCTGATTTTAAGTTCTCTGGTTATATATTGAGGAGTGGGATAACTGGGTCAAATGTTGGTTCCTTTCCAAGTTTTCTGAGGAAACTGYATTCTGCTTTCCAGAGTGGTTGTACCAATTTGCAGTCCCACCAGCAATGTCTGAGTGTAACTTTTTCCCCACATCCTGCCAACATTTATTTTGGGTATGGAAGATTATTAGCATCTCATTGGGGTGGGGAGTCTGCCCAGAAGAATTGAAACCACCCTAAATCTTAATATCTCTAATAACTAACAAATAATAGAACACAAACACTAGTCCACATGGGTTCTTAACTAGACAAAGAGAAAATAGCTCTAGTGATTTATTTAATGGGGTACATCAAAGGCAGGGATAAAGTTTCAAGGGCGGGGTCTTGCTTCCTGACGTCTTGCAGTCAGCAGATTGACATCTCAGCAAGTCACACCCATCTCAGGTGCTGTGTGAGATCTTAGGCAGACCTTGAGGGGGAAGTTCACCTGCATCAGGCAGTCAATTCCTGTGGGGTGCCTCGGGGAGTTCCCAGTCCCAGACTTATCCCTTCAGGAGGCTACTGTGCACAAAATAGTCCACACACAGCCCACAGACAGCTTGTAACAATTTATTGTAACTTGTATTCTTGATAATTGCCATTCTGACTCTGTGTAGTAACACTAGAAAATCCCGAAGACATTGTGCTAAGTGAATTCCACTCATAGGAGGTATTTAGAGAAGTCAATTCACAGAGACAGAAAATATAATGATGGTTGCCAGGGTTGAGAGATAAGTGGACTAGGGAGTTGATTAATGGGAGTTATTTAGTTATTTAGATAAGTGGAATAGGGAGTAATTTAGTTATTTCATTTTGCAAAATGAAAAGTTCTGGAGATGGATGATGATGATAGTAACACAACAATGTGAATGTACTTAATGCCACTGAACCATACACTTTAAAACATTTAAAATGATAAGTTTTATGTTATATTTTGCCACAATGCAAAATTCATCTATAGTTAAATATACCATAAACAAAGTAAAAAAGATAAATTGTTAAAGTGTAAATAACATAGTAAACCACAAAGGAATGGAGAGAATCCTCCCAAAATCCAAATTCCTAGATGCCACCCAAGGGTTAATCTTGCAAGCCTGGTTTTCTAAGGCCTGCAAACTTAACTCTTTGCAAGATGTTTTTAGTGATCAACAAAATGAAAAATTTTAAATAACATACTATTTCACATCCATCAGAATGGAAAAAAAACTAAAATCTTACTCTATTGTGCATTGCCAGGAATGTAGAACAATGGAAATTCCTCTGTAGAGCTGCTCTAAAACATTTGTGTAAATGTATAAAAACTCTTAGATAGCTACTACAGCCACTTTGAAAAGCATTTTGGCAAAAGTGAAAGACATTACATATATAAGACTTTTCATATTTTCACTGCACATAGATGAAAAAATTTTCATATTAGTGAAAATTTGGAAACAACCTAAAAGCCCATTAATGAAAGAGTAGATGGATAAATTATATAATTAGTTAAAGTACATGAACTAGGAAGCTTGTGAGAGAGGAAAATCAGATGCCGTAGTTCAAGTTAAAAGGTAAAGAGGGAGCTGATGCTGAGAAAAACAGAAAATAAGAGACTAGAAATTTCAAAGGCTGTACCCCAAAGCCTAATATTGAATGGAGAAGAGTAGACAAAATGTAATATCATTTGTGTATGTTTTCAAATCCAAAATGTAATACTACATAGGATTTATGGGTCCTTGCATGTAAGTAAAGCAGAAAACATGGGTAGAAATGAGATGTAATGATTTTTACATTATTTTCTGTTTTTCTGCATATTTGAAATATTTTCATAATTAAAACGTGCTATAGGAGCAAGGCCCATGAAAAAACTGAGGAAATAGGATCAAAAGCCAAAAATCAAGGTTAAAAGGGGAAGAACTCATCCTTTAAGACTTGCGGTGGGAGATAGTAAAAATGAATGTAAAAACTGACTGGTTTGGAGATAAGAATGCAGGAGTTGAGAAAGATCGTGCCCTATAGCCTCAGCTTCCTCATGTAACGTAGAAAGGAGAGTCCTCTACAAACTGAGAAAGGGGAGGCATTGAGGAGGGGCCTGGAGGAAGAGGTCAAAGGTTACTAAGGATACTATGAGAAGGGGCTGAGGAAAGACCAGTCAAAAGATTACAGGAGAGCATCAAAGGCACAGTTGAGGTAAGATCTCTTGAATGGGTCCAATCCCCATGGATGCTGACTTTCTAAAGAAGTCATATTATAACAACCAAGGTTTGGTTTAGATGTTGATTACAAGAGGAAGAAGAAGACATGAGTGAATTTAGGAAGCTGGTCAGAGAGGGGATCAGATAACCTGAGATCCTGACTGAGTAAGGAGCAGGTGACAAGAGTGTTGGAGGGAACTGCCACCCGAGGAAGGGAAGATTGGGAAACTGGCAGTCTCTAAGAGGTCAAGGACATATGGATGATGGAAGAAGTTGAAGTTGAGAATAGACTATTGGAGCAGCACTATTTTGGAGTTGCAGTAGCACTTTTTTCTAAAGGCAACTTATTGGTGTCTCTGCTACTCACAATAACTTGATAGAGCTTTTTGCTTCCAATTCTCCTAGGATGATCAACCAAATATTAGAGGCCAACTACTGTCAGATTAATAAAGCTTAGTGTCCAGATATATTGAATTACAGCAAAACATAGACGCAAACAGGGTATTCAACCAGGTATTCGTCAGACATAAATTCAGGTGCTAATTAATTAATTAGCTTCGAGAATCAGTGGAACTGTGACCACTGGGAAATTATTAGTCCACAGGCTAAGAGAGAATGGCTCAGGAACAAGGTTGGGCAGAATTTTACAGATAAAAGGATAATAAATTTACCATTAAATGCTAATAAGATTCGAAACAAGTCCTGGGAATGTGACCCCACTGGGAACATAAATTATCCCAGTTGGATCATACATCCAGCTTGAAGGATAGAGGTGATTGGGGGTATGCGGTGTAGATTGCTTGGCTCGCATTTGAGAGTTCCTGGAAGGTTTTTTTTTTTTTTTTATTGCTAGGAACAGGCTAACCCTAGGTAATCCCTCCAGTGTCAGCAAAGTCCAAGATGTTAAAGCATCCAAATACAGAAAATAAAAAGACATAATGAATATAATGGGATATCCACAAAGTTTGTGTCTAATGAATGTAAATCAACAGCGAGGTTTTTTCAATACCAAAAGAGGAACTACCATAGTGAAAAAATTATCAATTGTCAGAAATAAGCCCAAACTGTGCATTTCTGAATTTTTCAGGTTTCATTAGTATTCTATTTTACACTAATGAACATTAATGAACAGAAACAATACTTACATTGGCAAGTACTTTTGTCATGTATTCTCAAAAATGAAATAAATAAAACATTATCTAAGATCATTATAAACCCAGAAATTATGGCTCATGCAATGCATCATTATTGCCACTAGATGACACTATAGCTCATTGCTCTTGTGAGAGTTGGCCGTTAACATGGTCCAAATCGATTTTTATTTAATTTATTTATTTATTTATTTGTTTGTTTGTTTGTTTGTTTGTTTGTTTGTTTGTTTAATGGACACAATACCTTTATTTTGTTCATTTATTTTTATGTGGTGCCAAGGATCAAACCCAGTGCTTAACATGTTCGAGGCAAGAGCTTTATCACTAAGCCACAGCCACAGCCCTTCTTGTTTTTTTTAAGTAAAACATGGCTTTGCAACCAGTTTGTAATGTCAAGAACCTCATGATTTTCAGAAGATAAAACAAAAATCCTTCTCCTCAAAAGCTGCTAGAATTAAAACTTTGCTAACCCTGACCCAACTCTGAAACTACAAAAGTGTGTGTAGTGTGTGTGTGTGTGTGTGTGTGTGTGTGTGTGTGTGTGTGTGTCCATAGGGTTTTTTCTGGAAAGACTCCAGAGCTTAGAGTTTCAGAATTCTCTGTGACCCTCCTCTGACACCAAGAAGTCAAGCACCAATACGCAGTTCCTAGCTAGTCATGCCTGTTTGAGTACTGACCTTCTGAATTCATCTCTTTATGATTTCTCAAAACTAATTAATATGGAAATTAAAAAAACAGCTTCTTAGATATCACTTTTTGACACTTAAACTTTTTTCACCCAATTTGTGAGAATAGGTCAATAACTGCTTCTTATAACCAGGCTTGAATGATAGCCATTTATAGCAGATCTGAAAGCCAGCCACAACAACTACAAAATGATTTGGACAGGGGAAAAACGAGACATTGTCAAGGACCTATTATTTTCTGTGAATTGCACAGAACTGTCAAATGAGAAATTATATCAAAAAATTAGGCAACACTGCAAAATTTGGTAGCCTAGAAGAAAGTGCCTGAGACCAACATCCTAAGTGAAAATTCCATCCAAGGGGTAAGGGGACAATTTCCTTCAGAAATATGAGCAATAACTGATGGAGAAAGAAGTCATATAACTATTTTTACAGACACCAGTTCTAGTATGCAAAGGTATGGCTTTATCAATAATTTCACCTTAGCTTTGTTCTTGAGCCCCTATATTTACATGGTAGTAAGGGGGAAAAAATCTTTGAAAACCACATCTCTTTGAAAACTCAGAGTCTCAGGGAAATATTCTAAGCCCAGCTGGGCTTGTGTACCCAGACCTGGAATTAGGGAAGGCGTATCCTGCTCATGTAGAGCTGTGCTGGTGTCTACTGCTGGTAGAGACTAGCCCCACTCAGGGGGTAACCTTGCTGAGCCTTTGAGACTCAGTCACATCGTCTAGCTGGTTTCTCCTGGGAAATATACAACATCTCAGTGCTCATAGTCTTTCTGTGATTTCATTCTCTAATGTGTAATAGGCAACTGTCAATTTTTTTAAATTAAATGACCTCAGGGATATTTGCCTTGCTCTCCCCTCCGTTCCTCACCTCCCGTCTTAGGCAGCAGGCCTCAGCTACCCTTGTCAACATATGGTCCTTACTAAAGCAAAAGGAACTTGTAGCTACAATTTTATATTAATTTATTGTTAGGGTTTTTTATCTTGAATAATACCTGTGATTTCATTCATCTGCTAAAATAGACCTATATAGCAGGCACTAGTATTTGACAGATAAGAAAAACTGAGGCTTCAAGAGTTTAAGTAACTTTCCCAGGATCACAAAGCTAATAAGTGATAAAGACAGGATTCAAACTTGTGCCCATTGGACTTGAAAGCCAGGACTCCTAACTCCTCTATTTCACACTAATTATTGTTTTTGTCTTTGATCTCTCTTTTAGATTTGATGATAATGGCTTTATTGAAGATATCCAAGTAAATTTCATATTGTGGGAAATCCATGGCAGGCATGACTATAGTTTTACTAAAACTATGAAGCAGGTATGATATCTTTGAATTTAAACAGGATTTAGCATGTAATTAGACATRTCTTTCTATTTTAAATCCATATGTAAAAGATCTAAAGAAATAGAACCAGGATGCAGTGGGTCAAAAAAAATCACTTCTATATTAAATTCATCGACAACTAAAATTTTATTTATGAAATGTATTGTCATATAAAACACATATAAGGGAGTGAGGAAAAAATAAAGTTTATACAAGAGTGATGCAATTATATATGAGTATTTTCTTTTCTCTCCAAACTCTATTTAATGTTTAATGGATCAAACTTCAGCTGTGGGATGTTTGTCACATTTGTGCTAAATCAAATGGAGAATCTCAGGCTTCAAATTTCTTAACTTCTTTGCATCATTTGCCCCTTCTGACCTTGGTTTCAATGTCTTTCCATCTCCTATCTTCCATGACCAGTTAATCTCAGCCTTCTCTGTGAATTTCCCTTATTTTATCCTTTCAATTTGTAGGGACATGGCAGAGAGGCCTTACAACTCCCACTCACCATACTTTATCTCCCTGAGTGGGTCTTTTAGCCCTTGAAGGTCTCTCATCATGAAGGAACCCCTCCAGAAGTTATCAGCATTGATTCCTAAGATTGCCCAGAGATATCAGGCTCAAACAAACCAGGAATGACTCCTTCCAAACTGGTCTTCATCTCTATTAAACACTTCAATATCCAAGAGGTACAACTTACCTACATGGCAGCCAAGAGAACTGAGCTCCACTTGCCACTTCCCAGAATACTGTAAGAACTTATTGTCTTGCAGTATGTAACCAAATAAATCCATTTAACCACACATTCCTCCTATACTGTTCAACACCCAACATGTCATACCATCTACCTTACTTCCTCCTCAGAGTCTCATCCTTAAACTACTGTAATCTTCTATTACCTTGGCTCAGAATCCCATTACTCTCTTCCTTCTCAAACCTTTTCATTATACCTTAGGGTTAAGTGCTCTTCCATCCTTCTTCAGTAGAATCTCCTGAGAGAATATCCCTTTGCTCTCTCTTACCCCATATATTTAAATGTGAGGTGTGGAGCTGATGCTCTCCCTAACTCATGGTATCATTGGTTTATCATTATATTTCCAGTTTGTTTGAGGCTCCCACCAACCAGTTGACATCTGTCCTACCCCTGCTTGCTGTTGTCATATACTCAGAACTTATTTTTTCTCATGCCCTGAAAACAATTATAGTTGACTTCTGAATTCTGTCATCCATCACACAAGGGTATTGCTGGAAAGTTTTCTAAACAGGGACTACACTTCCCAGATCCATTTGCATTTAAATGATGACATAAGAGAGGTTCTCATGACTTAAATATGTGCAGAAATTATGTGTGTTGTTTCCAGATGAAATAATTAAGAAGGAATTCCATTAACCTTTGTGTTTCCAATCTTATCTCATAACAGTATGTTACAACAATAATTAAGGATAGGATAGATCAGAGCGTTATAAAAATAATCCAGTGGAGGAACTTCAAGGAGCCACTAGATTAAAAAAAAAAAAAAAAAAAAAAAGCCTAGGTTCCCAATTCACAACCATCTAACCAGAGACATCTGCATTGGGCTATGTATAATAAAAATAAATTAAACTTTTAATGTGTAAACTCTGAGGGTTGGGGTTTATTATTGGCAGCACCACAGAGATAGCTCCTCCTATTAAAATAGCACCTAAATTTAAACACTCCAGCCTCTGACTTCAACCCCCAATTCTTTAGCTCTTTCATTGTTATTCCCAATGCTCCTAAGTCTTTTACTTTTTCCTCACATAAACTAGACATAACTATATTGTACCTTCTGCCTTCCTTTCCCATTTTTCTTCCCTTCTTTTTCTATCCAGTTTGAGCTGCATAGTTTAATTCTCCTGCTCCTGTCTTGCCAATGCCTATATCTCACTTCCTCAAGAGTTATTCCTGGACATAACAACTTAAAATAGCCATCTTTCTGCCTTATCCTAACCTATATCTGACTGATGATCACTTACAGGTCTCAAAGATCCATCTGTACACTCATGTTATAATGGCACTGTATATAAGAGCCAAAAAGTGAAACCTACCCCAAATATCCATTAGTTAAAAAGAAGATAAGTAAAATGTAAACTGCACATGCAGTGAAATACTATTCAGCCTTAGAAGGAAGGAAATTCTCACACATGCTACAAGTTCAATGAATCTTAAAAACATAATGCTAAGTGAAACAAACAGTCACAAAAAGACAAATACCACACATACTACCTGATTTCACTTATATTTAGAGTAGTCAAAAGTTACAAAGACAGAAAGTAAAGTGGTGGTTGCCAAGTGCTACAGGGAGGTGGAAATGAGGACTTATTGTTTAATTAGTATAGAGTTTTATTTTTGCCACTGAACTGTACACTTAAAAATGAAAGCAGTAAGTTCTGTTATGTGTATTTTGCCACAAAATGAAATAATTGGAAAAAAGTTTGATTACCATAAGACATTCTTAGCAATATTTTATGTTGGGAGAAAATGTGGTAACATATTTAAGACACCAAAAGAAAGTAAATTTAGCCAAGGATTTTATATCAAGCAAAAGTGATCTACACTATAAAGGTCACAGACTAAATATAATTAACATGTAAGAAACTCAGGAAATATTACTCCAATTAGCCCTTCCTGAGGAAGTTACTAAATAATAAGCTTCAGATAACCAAAATTACTGTTGATTCAAAGATATTCTAAGAACTAGAGAAAAGTATTAAATACAGAATTACCTGAAAACTAAAACAAAATGAGGAAAGGAAAATTAAAAGGGGAAAAAACGTAGAGAAAGAGTATAGTGTATGATGGATGTACTCTTTGGTAACATAGATATGGTATAATTATAAAATATAGTATAGGAGAATTTGAAGAACATGAGCTAGAGAAGATTTAACTGCTTCAATAACCATGATGGTGGAGGCAGTATTTGTATTGTTATTTTGAAGCTGTGAAGTATGTAATATAAAACAAACCTGTAATTAGGGAATATTTCAATATTCTCATTCCTCACCAAGTGTTTTAGTATGAAAGCAAAGAGATACATATGTAAGATGGAAGAAGTAAAACAAAAATTCTGATTTTGAGCTAAGCACAGTGGTACACATCTGTAATCCCAGCAACTGGAGCAGAGGGGGGGGGGTGAGGCGGGGGGGGGGCTGAGGAAGGAAGATTGCAAGTTTGAGGCTAGCCTCAGCAACTTAATTGAGACCCTGTCTCAAAACAAAAAAATAAAAACGACTGGGGATATAGCCCAGTGGTAAAATACTTGTGGGTTCAATCCCCAGTACCAAAAACATCTGAATTGAGTTAAATAAAACATAAACCCATAATATACTGGATATTGATCTGGATATAAATAAAGATATATTATTAATATAGAGAGATATAAGTATTGTTCCTCTCTGACAATTAAAATCCTTAGAAAAAATAAGTATCCTTAATATCTAGATTATTGCCTTAATACACTAGAATTACCATATGATCCAGCAAYTTTAGGTATATAAACAAACAAATTGAAAGTAGACTCAAATATTTACATTCCAACGTATAAACAGCACTATTCACAATAGCCAAATAGTAGAAATAATCCAATGCCATCAACAGAAAATGTGACATACACACACACACACACACACACACACACACACATACACACAAAATGGAATATGGTCTCACCTTTAAAAAAAGAGAAAATTTCATATACACTACAATGTAGATGAACCTTGAGAACATCATGCTAAATGAAACAAGCCAGTCATAGAACAGATAATGTATGATCCAATTTGTACAAGGAATTATTTTTTTTTCTTTTTTTTTAATTTGTTTTAATTAGTTATACATGACAGTACAATGACCTTGACATATCATACATTTTGTACAAGGTATTATCAGTAGTCAAAAATCATAGAGACAGAAAATAGAATGGTGGTTGCCAGCCACCATGGGGAGCAAGGAATGAAGACTTGTTTAAATTGTATAGTTTCAGTTTTGCAAGATGAAAAGAATTCTGGAGCTAGATGGTTAGAATAACAATATTAATGTACTTAATGCCACTGAATTGAATGCTTAAAAATTGTGAAAATGATAAATGATATATATTTTACCACAATAAAATGAAAATTTAATTATTTTGATTAAAAATGTGATAAAAGACATTTTTAGACAAAAATTGAGAAAATTTGTGATGAACAGACTTGCACTTAGGCTTACATCAGATTTGCACCAGACTTCTACCAGGGTGCTATTCAAAATAAAAATAAGGTTCAGCTCACTGGGAATCTATARCAATTATAATTGAGATGTATAATTTTTATTTACATTTATAATTATATTAATTTAAAACATATAAATAGAAAATTGAAATAACTAGAAATTTAAAAATCCACAAACATCATAAGAAATTTTAACCCAACTCCCTCAGTAACTATTGCAGCATGGGAGACAAAATTTTAAATAGAGGAGATTTGAACAACATGCTTAACAAACTTGGCCTAATAGACTAAAACACTGTACCAACTATTTCAGAATACATATTCTTTCCCAGCACCCACAAATCATTTATAAAAATTAACCATATGTCCTCTTTAAAGTAAATCTCAAGAAATTTAATGAGATTGATATTACATAGTATATATTCTGACTAGAAATCAATAACAAAAAAGAATTAGAAATTTCCATACATATGAAATAAACCAGACATCAAAAAATACATGGAAATTGAAAATGTCTGGGAGTTAATGATAATGAAAATAGCAAATATCAAAACTCACTGGATTTATCTACAGTCATGTGCAAGGGAAAATGGATAGGCTTATGTGTGTGTATTAGAAATGAAAATCTGAAAAATTAAACAGTCACATCAAGAAGTTAGAAAAACATTATTAGAAAGTTAAGCTCAAAAAAAGTAAAAGAAAAAAAATAATAAAGTTAAAAACACAAATTAAGCTGGGCATGGTGGTACACACCTGTAATCCCAGCAGCTCAGGAGGCTAAGCAACTTAGCAATGCAGTAGGCAACTCAGTGAAACCCTGTCTCCATATAAAAATATAAAAAGGGCTGCGGATGTAGCTCAGTGGTTAAGCACACCTGGGTTCAATTCCTAGTATCAAAAGAAAAAAAAGGGGAAAACCCCAAATTAAGAAAATAGATACAAATATAAGATAAAGTAGTCACAAAGACAAAAATTGATTCTTTAAACAAACTAATAAAATTAAGTCACCAACGAAAATGGAGAAAAGATTATAAATAGCTAATATAAGGAGTAAAATGAAAATTCTACAAATTTTATAAACATTAAAAATGTATTAGAGGTTATTATAAACATTTATGTCAACAAATCTTACAAGAACAAGTAGATAAAATAGACAAATGCCTTAAAAATACAACCTACTAAAATATCTTCTGTTACAAGAAAAAAAAAATAGAAAACTCCAAGCCTATAAGTCTTTTCTGATGAAATCTATCAAACATTTAAGGAAAAATTTCTTCAGTTTTATTTTCAGTGGCATCACAATATATTTTCCAGAGAATKGGAGCTGGAGATGATTTTCCAATTCATTTTGTGAAACCACAAGGAGTTGCTAAGAATCTTAAATAAGAGAGAATTATGGGTCAGTCTGACTCATAAACACGCATACAAAACACCAAAGCAAAACATTAGTAAATCAAACCCAGAAATATATCAACGAATAATACATCCAGACCAAATGTTATTTATTTCACAAATGAATGAATGGATGGTATATCATTTGAAAATGGATTTGGTATATCAAATTCAATGTATCAACAGCATAAAGAAGAAAGAGCATAAGATCATTGTAATATTTGGTGAAAAGTTATGAAATTAAGAATTTATTATCTACACATAGCATTATTTTTACAACAAAGCTTATAAAGTGAATAATAACTTTCTTAACCTAATAAAATTTAGATTTAAAAAATTATAGCAGGGCTGGGGTTGTGGCTCAGTGGTAGAGCGCTTGCCTCAAATGTGTGAGGCACTGGGTTCAATTCTCAGCACCTCATATAAATAAAAAATAAAGGTCCATCAACAACTAAAATGAATAAAATAAATAAAATTTTTTAAAAATATAGCAAACATTATATTAATGGTGAAAATGAAATGCCTCCCTCTGAAATCAGGAACGAAACTAGGGCGGCTATGCCACCATTTTTATATAACATTGTTCCTGAAATCTTTGTAATATGGTAAAGGATAAGCAGCAAAGAATAAATAAAACTTATAAGAATTGGAAAGGAGGGAGAAAACTGTCATATTCACAGGTAGCACAGAGGTTCATGTGAAACACTCAGAATTAACAAGTGAGTTTAAGAAATTCCTCCAACTCAAGGATACTAAAGTCAGTTGTTCCTTTGTACATCAGCAAGCAAATACATAATGAAAGTTTTTATTTATTTATTTTTTTTATAATGAAAGTTTTTAAAAACATAAAATTTTCAGTGGCATCACAATATATTAGATACTTAGGAATAAATTGACAATGAAAACTTTAAAATATCCATATATATGTCATCTTTTGACAGAGTGGTTGTTTAAATGAAGCACAGACGTGGAAGACAATGACAGAGCTTAACAAGGACGTCCCATTAGAAGATGTGTGGGGACCAGAGGTAAGAAAAACATCTATCTGGAAATCACAAATTTGCCCTTAACAAAATCTTTGTGGAAACACTTTGGATTTTAATTTGCTTTGAATCTATTTTTCTCTTATTTTAAAAACACTCTGATTTGTTTTGTCTTCTGTCGATTCTGTATTGCATGCCTATAATCCCAGCTACTTGGGAGGCTGAGGCAGGAGGATTGTGAGTTCAAAGCCAGCTTCAGCAAAAGCGAGGCACTAAGCAACTCAGTGAGACTCTGTCTCTAAATAAAATACAGAATAGGGCTGGGGATGTGGCTCAGTGGTCTGGTGCCCCTGCATTCAATCCCGGTACCCACACCCCCAAAAAAGACAACCTACCTCCTTTACCTGTCTCCCACCACCACTGCCATGGTGGGGATCAGTTATTTTTTTATTTAAAAATCAAGTAGTCAACAAGGACTTACTTGGATACCCTACTGAAATCAATCCCATGACAGCCTATGTTTCCCTTCCCTATTTTCTTTAATATGATGAACATTTACAACTCTCTGACACATTTGTCAAGTTGAGGCTCAGATCCAAGAGGGAAGGTTTGGAACTCCCACAGCTGAAAGAAGAAACAAGGTACAGTTGGGATAGCAGACATGCTTTATTCAGAGACAGCAGCATCCCCTACCAGCTCCCATTCCCCTGAGCCATTTCCATAGGCCTCTTTTAATATGCAGGCCAGACAAAGAAGGCACATTGCCAATAGGTTACAAAAGTACTCACAAGCAAATGTTTATGTCCTTGACTATGTACTAAAACATAGCCTTCCAGAAGTGAGGGCCATCTTGGGCCTGCCATATAATACACCCATTTAATATTCCTTGCCATACAATCTATATGTGTATGTCTTCTGCAATTATCTCTTAGAAAGTAGAACCCTGCTTCCTATAGGACACAACAAAAATATGAGCTGCACTTAGAAATACTAACAACCATTACCAGTTTCATCCCATATTGAGGTGACAATGCAAGTCGTTCCCAGGCACATCCAACCACCAAGGGACATAATCTGGACTCACCAGGGTACTCTGGCAATAGAACTCATAGGCATTTTAATGCATACCCAGCAGGCAGAGATGTGTGCTATTCTGGCGTAGGCATGTGTCCAGTTCCCAATAGTATTGGCAAGAACATACCTATGGACAAAAGGACAAAGTTACAGGTACTAATATAGTTAAATCATGTCCTTCAGGGAGAATTCATGCCAGTTTTCAGTTCCAKGAAAGCACAAATGCTGCCTGAGGTGGCTTTGCTGGGCAGGTGTTACCACACTTACACAGCTTTGTCCTGAACTTCAACAGGTTCTATGTGCACCAGCACTGGGGAATCCTTAATTGGCCAAAGGAAAAATTTTAAAAATGCCCTTTAAAATCTATGTCTCATCTGTGGGACCTGGCCAAGTCATATGTGCAGGGCAGGGGGCATTCACTAATCACCCATGGTGTCACAAGATCACACCCAACCCCTTTTCCTATGGGGCTAACAGGGCTATCCAACAAAGTCGGGGAGCTTTATTGTCCAGGACCATATCCAATTCACAATTTACCCCCTATTCAAATCCAATGGGAGCAGGTAAAAGAACATCCCCTGCCTCCCAAACCCAGGCTTAAGTATAACATCCTTTGTTGTCACCTGGACCTGTATTAGGGTCACTGTGTGGTGTAAACAAAGCCTCCACAGGATTGGTCCCCCTCATCAGGGATGCTCATTCAGAGCTCACACAATTGTGAAGAGAGACTATACCTGCCCCTTCATAAAAGGTGGGTTGACTGAACTCCTATGTCCTCGCTTAAGCAGGCAATCATGTCTTTCTATCATGCTTCAGTCTGTGGGTGATATGGGACAGGAAGCTTCCATTAAATCTGTAACTGAGTTGCCCATTACTTTATATCCTGACCCATGAAATGGGTACCTTGATCACTCTCTATTGTGATAGGCCAGTCTTACAAGGTCATTAACATTGCCAGGGCACAAATCATAGTAAGCTAATTCATTTGGCTACTAAGTCAGGCAAGCAATAAGCCTGTGGCTATACCAACTGCTGTCAAGGCAAACATGGCCTCCTCTGACTTCAATAAATGGCTGATGTAGTCAGCCTGCCATCATGTCAAGGAGACACATCCATGCATTACCTGGCCATTTGCAGCTCCAAAGCATCAAGGGTGTGGATGTTCCTAAGCACAAACCACATGCCTGGCAAGCTTCCACCAGAGCATTCCACATTAAAGGCAGGCCCCATTGTTTGACTACATTCCACATGTTTATCACATCTGCATGCTGTAAGTGGTGGTACAACCAAGCCACTAGGTCAATGGGAAGTACCCATTCTAACCACTGTACTCTAGCTAAAACATCTGCTTCATCATTCCCCAGGATAGTTAGGGAGCCAATAACATGCTCTATAGCCCCTTGTGTGTTCCTGGTGGCCTAGATCCCAGAGCTCTCACCATAGAACTTGCCCCCATTACACAGCATAGCTGTCAGCACCTATCACTATGGGRGATACTTCATTTGTTACCATCATCCAGACAGAATGCAGCTAAGCTCACTGGCTATTTTGTCCTGTACTGGTATTAAACCAGATAGTATCTGTCTTTGGCTCCACAGCCACCATTGCCCACACAGACAGTTTTCCATGGCTAGAGCTATCAGTGTACTGATCACTAGACAGGATAGGTGCCTTACCTCCAAATTATGGAGGTTTCTGGTTCTACCTAAGTGACAGGCCCTAGCACCTCTTGAAGTCTTTTGTTCCTGCTGGCTCCTAGCTTATCTGGGCTCTCTTGGCCCCTCTAAATGCCTCTTTGGCATTTACTGTTTTATAACCTCTTCTGCAAGGAGAATTTCTAACCTCCCATTTTTAAGGCACTACACATAATGTGCCTAAATCTCACAGGCATAGTAACAAAGCAGCCAGGGGCTCTCCTGATCTCTGCCCAAATTATTTTCCTAAGTCCACCAACTCTGCTTGACAGGCAGAAATACGGTGAACTTGGTTACCCAGGCCAGCCCTACCAGTGGCTGCCCATGGGAGCCATTGGCTGCTGTTGTTTTCATTTTATGCATTACCACGGGCTGTGCTTACAGGTGTTAGGCCCCCTCCTCCTCGTCTTCTTAGTCTTCTTACTCAGTATGAGGAAAGCTGGGGGGTATTTTCAAAGTACTGAGATCCTCCTCCAGGGACCACACTCCAGTTTTCAAGGCCTCTTCTTTATCTTGTAGCTCCCTACTTTTGGCAGTCTCTCATAAAGCTGCATAAGTTTTTGCTTTCAGAGTTACAAGAAACATCCATGGCCCCAGCAGTCATCTGTGTGGCTCCTTAGGCCATTTCTCCATCCAGTCTGCACCACCACTGCCACCTTTCTCCTTGGCCAGGGGCCAGATCTTGGGCTCCACCAGTCCTTACACAGCCCACTCTGCTGGGTCCATGTTCATCACAGGGCAATCAGAAAAACTTAATCCACTTGTCTTCGGATTGCTTGCTTATAGACAAGAGCTAACTGCTTGTAAAACCTTCTCTACGCTCACAGGGAACCCATCCACCATATCCCAACTCTYCGCAGGACTCCATACTAATAGGACTGTGGCAACCAAGTGCTACATGCTGTTCAGGAGCCACAGGTTCCTCTGTCTGAGAGAGTTGATGCATCTCTCACCAGCAGAAGATCCTGCTGACTATGCCAGTTGTCTGGTTGAGGCTCAGACCTGAAAAGGAAAGTCTGGGGCTCCAGCAGTTGAAAAAGGAGTCTAGGCACAGTTGGGTTGGTAGACATGCTTTATTCAGAGGTGCCTCTAGTCAGCATCCCATCCCCAGCCACTTCCAAAAGCCTTTTTCATGTGCAGGCCAGACAAAGAAGGCATAACAGTTTACATAAGTGAGCACCTGCTCACAAGCAAATGTGTATGACCTTGAGTACAAATGCTGAATCAGAGTATTCATGACCTTGGCTACATACTAAAAACAGCCTGCAGGAAGCCTCAACGAGGGATCCTATAGCCATCTTGGACCTGCCCTACAACATTATACAGCCTGCTTTTGTATCTTACTATCTGGCTCCCCAACAAAAAAGTTAGCCCCAAGAAGGAAAGGAATTTTGTTTACACTGCTGTATCTCAGCATCTATCCCATTACAGGTGCTCAATACATATTTATAAATCTAATGAATTAACTATAGATCATCTTTTCGTTGCAAAGATTTCATTCTACTCAAACATCATAAGCAACTAAGCTAGTAATGGAACCAATTCAAACAAAACTTATCCTCCTGACTTTTGATTGAAAGGTTTCCAGAGGTATGAAACTGATGGATGTAAATGATACTTTCTCTATCCTCAAAATTCTCACAATGGGCACCTAAACATTCTAAGATTTTGTGAAAATAGCATACTCCACGGAAGCAATGAACCAGCTGGGTAATTAACAGTCATGGAGTTTGCCTCAATCAGCATGAAATGGTGCCTGTCTCTCAAACTTTAGTATATATCAGAATCATCCGGAGGACTTATTAAAGTAGATTGCTTGGTCCCCCCTCCAGATTTTCTGATTCAGCAGTAGGAGGTGGGTCCCAAATTATTTGCATTTCTAACAAGTTCCCAGGTGATACTAATGTTCTAGGAACTAATTAAAGAAAACATTGAAATAGTAGTTTACAATCTAGAAAGATTTTGGAGGGCCCAGTCCAGGCCCTAAATGTTCAGTTCTGCTGTGTGAAAAATAAAGTTCACCTCAAAAAGGATGGATTCAGTGTGTGTGTGTGTGTGTGTGTGTGTGTGTGTGTGTGTGTATTACAGAAAGCAGGTACATGCAAAGACTAGTTCCATGCTGGTGAACAAGGCTACTCTAACTGAAGGGTATCACTGTATATTAAGTCAACAGGGCGATCAGGGGTGCTTTTTCCTTAAATGTATGCCTAAAATGAAATAGAGAACCTTACAATTTTTGAGGCTTCACTGACTGCTACACAGTCCTGCTTCTGCAAGAATAGATGACACTTGCATAAAAGTAGCCCTAGGGATTGSGAATTCTCAGAGGAGAGTGCAATGGGTTTGCAAACTGAGACCCATAAACAATAATGTCATTTTCACAGATTCTTCCAAGTTAATGTTGGAGATTAAGAAGTAAAGGGAGAAAATAGGTTCAGAGTTGCTGGCTACAAACATATAATACAGGATGGATCTTGAGTTTTGACCATGGCTGAAAATAATAGACTGAGAAGTCATTGGCTAGGAAAGGAGTGCAATTCACAAGACAAGGGGACATTGATTAAGTGAGATTTCAAATGAAAAAGAAGGGGGAAATGACAATAACTTGAAGCAAGAAGAATCTAATAATATAATGGGATATCAGGTGTGACACAAAAAAGAGTAGTAGGTATCAGTATCCCATTATTAAATAACAGTGGGGAATTAGAAACCATATAGACTCTGAGATGTCTATATGCAAAAAAAAAATACATGTAATGATACAAGGTAAGTTAAGTCCTTATCAGCAATGCTTAGTTAGGATTATGTATGTCTAGTTCATGATCTTAATTTAGCCAGGGTCACATATTCTTTCAGTAATGTTCATGGGCTCCTATTTTGACCAAATTGGTAAAACAAGAAGTTTGATAGTCTAATGTTGACCCAGAAGAACCCTTCATCAAAAAATATAAACTGTTTTGTATTTTTCCAGTTAATAGACACCAGAAAATAATGAGACCTTCACTTATTTTTCATTAATCTATACCCAACATTATTTTAGAAATGCGCTAGAGATTGCAATGGTAGAAATGTAGACAAAGGTAAGAAATGGTAAAAGATGTATTTTTTTAAAATAATTATCTTTGCATTTTATCAAGACATAATAATACTTCATTAAATTGAACAAAATTAAGAATTTTAGCAGTGACACTTAGGATTAAAATAATTATAAAATGACCCACCTATATAAAAGAAAGTGACCTGCTAGGAAGGGAAGCAGAGGAATTTTCAGTGTGATTGCAATACCCACCTCTAAAAAGGAATTCACAAACCAGAGGGTAAATACATAAGTGTATGAAAAGAGGGAGTTATACAAGGGATTGCTGTAAATACCAGAGAATCATAGTCTATGTTCCTAGCTACCTTCAAAACTTAGCAGAGTTAAAAATAGAATATTATATCCACAATATCATTGTATGGATGAATGTCAAAATGTAGGCAAAATAAGAAAAAAATAAGAAATAAATGGCACCAGGTAAATCCAGTAAGTGTTACTTATTCAAAGTTTATAATAAGAATATATGATAAAATAACATGACCCAGGATAGATGAAAGTGCAAACTTTCTGACCCCAAAAGATTTACGAGGCACATGGTTGTTCTCTGAATGAGAATCATCTCAGTTCTTGTAGAAACACAGCAGTCTTTTTTTGGGTGCAATCTTTTATTTTTGAGAGAGAGAGAGAGAAAGAGAGAGAGAGAGAGAATTTCAATATTTATTTTTCAGTTTTCGGCAGACACAATATCTTTGTTTGTATGTGGTGCTGAGGATCGAACCCGGGCTGCAAGCATGCCAGGCAAGCGTGCTACYGCTTGAGCCACATCCCCAGCCCTGGGTGCAATCTTAAGTACATAAAAGGCTGGAACCATTTCGCATATAAGCTAGTCTGTAATAGCAGTTACCTGCTATTCACCCATCTTCATGGCAAACCCATAGATTGACACCCTTTTCAATCTTTATCTAAACCTTAGAACAATTAATCATGATTTGTACCCATTGAGGCTCCTGATTCTAGGGCTCCACACCCAAATCTGGTCTTTCATCAAAGTAAAGATTCACTAGCTTATTTGCAGCATCCCTTCAAAAATTCCTCCCTGGGTGGTTAGTTCTGGTAATTGGTATTCCAGGCACTCAGTGACAATTAACTCCTCACCCCAGCTCAGCACAGGTTGTTCAGGCTGTGTTCTCAGAGCTTCTGCAGCTCACACTACCCTGTGCAGAAGCCAACTCGTAGAGTCTGCTTCCTTAGTGTTTCCTTCCAGGAAAAATTACCACCAGACAGGGTGGGTTATGGCACAAAACATTTGGATTCTTTACAGTGACTCTTAGCTAAAACCAGACAATATATAACAGATCTGTTTTATCCAAAAATTTCTTGACAGTATAGCTCAATACAAATCTCTTGTGCACAACCTGGTTCTGTTCCCCTTGTGATCTCATCCTTTGTTTATCATGCAAATATCTTCCAAGATTTTCCCAGACCTTTCTCAAAGTGGAAGTAGAGCATATGCGTTCTCTGCCCCTGATTGCTGTTTATTTCATCTGATCTTTCATATCACAATATCATTAACATGAAGAGGGAAACTACAGCCAAGACAACCAGCCAGTGGTATATGCACAGCTGAGCATCAGCTGGACCTTCTGCTCCATTTAATCAAACTGTTCTTGGCTCAATTCATACTTGTCATTACTGGAATATAAATGGTAAGCAATCTTCTCAACATCACCCTGATAGCCTGTGCGTTTACTTTTAACTCAGTGACTTAACCCGTTGCATTCTTGCATGAAATGCATTTTAGTCTCAAATTTCATTACTTCAAACAATTCTTTCAACCTGGTTAGGGCACTTCCACTGGGATGAATTACCTCTAAACATTATTCCCATTGCATCTCATTTTTAATTCAAATTCCTGTGCTACCCAATTCCAGCGAAGTCCTAGGGGTAAGAATATGTGCCTGTCAGCTTCTATAATGAAAGGTAAGGACTTGGAATTACCCTCCCACTCTAGTGACATCCAAAAGGAATCAATGTTCTATTGATAATGACTGTGGGCAGACAAAGAGGGGGGCAAATATCCATAAATGCTACTCTCAGGAAGAGGTGATGCTAGAATTCTCATTTAATTAAAGTTGTACTGTTAAATTAGCTACAGACCCTTGATAACAATTTTATTTCCTTGAAAAAAATGAAGAATAATTGATTATTAGAATGGAGGTAACAATAAGTAGGATAAAGTATCCATATCGTCATAGTTTCATGATATCCAGGGAAGTAAGAATAGACATAATCAAAATTGTACCTCACACTTGAATAAAGCAGTTTCCTTTTTTTTTTTTCTGAGAAAACTCTCCAGGAGGCATAGTTGATAGAAAGGTCTCCAGAGAAACTAGGGCATGGTTGCCTAGCATACCAAATAGCCATGAACAAATAGCACTCAGAGAAAGTTTCTGAGTGGATGGATAGAGCTAACCTAAGACACCTATTATTAGAGGTCATTCAACCTAAGTCCAGAAAAAGAGGTTGGAGGCACAGACTGCAGATCTAGCTCTTGAATATTTAAAAACAAAATAAAACACTTTAACAGCATTTCAAATTAAGGATCAACAAATATGCCACCTACTGTGTGCCAGCCTGCAGATAAAGCAGTAAGTTTCACTCTAGAGCTTATCATTAACACCATCTAATCATAACATGGAGTTGCCATGGGGAAGTTCTTTTGAGACTGTGTAAGAGCAGACTGATCAGTTGACTGGGAAATTATTCATTGAAGAGAAATACTTTAAGAAGAGTAGAAAAAAAAAGAAAAAGACCATTCTCTTAGTACATTTTGTGCTGTTATAACTGAGTAATTAATATAAAGAAAAATTTATTGGCTCACACTTCTGAAGACTGGGAGGTTCAAGGGCATAGTGTTAACATCCTGCAAGGGCTTTCTTATAGCATCAAAGGTGGAAGGTTCAGGGTGAGGGGGCAAAGAAGAGGTCAAGGTCAAGAAAGACAGTGAGCAAGAGGCATCCAAACTCATTCTTATAAAAGGAATCCACTCCCAGGATAACAAAACCAATCCCACCGTAATTACATTAATCCATTCATGAGCCAGGTACCCCCATGACTCAAACACYTCCCATTATCCCTACCTCCCAACACCTTTGCATTAGGGGATCAGGTTTCCAACTTTGGGATACACATTCAAACTAAAGTTTCTTGTTTCCTTCAAACAAGAAGTTTCCAGAGAGCAGGAGTGGTAGAAGAGAAGAACTTTATGTAGGTTTTGAAAGTACACAGGACCCAAAGGGATTCAGAAGCAGTCAGACGTGGATGGTGGATGCCTGCAATCTCAGCTACTGAGAAGGCTCAGGCTGGAGGATGGCAAATTTGAGGCCAGCTTAGGCAAATTGGCAAAATAAAATTTAAGAAAACAAGGGCTGGGAGTGTAGCTCAGAGGTAGAGCATAGCCTAGGGTGCATGAGGCACTAGGTATAAGCCCTAGCACCATAAAATAAAACAAAAGAATGCAGAAACAAGGATATGCATTATAGGTTGTTTCATGTGTGCTTTGAAAAGGGAAGCCAGGAATGGGGGTGGGGGGAGTACTGTTTTTAGTGTCTATCTTGAGACACACATACCCCCCAGAGAGAGACACTAATAATAATGGGAATAAATAGAAGTCCCAAAGGAGGATAAGAACCCAAGAATGTAACAACTCCACTATTGTGTCTTTGCAAATTAGTTTCTATCCCAAATTAGAATCTTTGGAGGATTTTATGCTTTGTTGATTTATTTGTATTTTTAAATACAAAATAATTATAGCATTTGCTCTTACTAAGTTTCCCTTTTCACAAGTTTTTCCCCAATGTAGCCTCTAAAAATGCTACAGAGCATTGCAATGGTAGAATAGAAGAGACTAGCCATTACACCTCTAAATAATTATTCAAGATAAATATATTAGAATATAATTTTGTTCGTTAAAGTCAGAAAATGTTCTTAGGATTTGGGTCTTTGTATCTTGTTCAGAACTATAGGACCTGTTTTTCTTATGCTGTTGGAAAACCAGGAGACTTAAGTCAACCATATGAGATTATCAACAGTTCTAATAATAATCACATATATTGGCCCAATGGCCATTCTGGAATGTATATATTTCGTGTGAAGATCCTGGACCCAAACTACAGGTGAATATAAATGTTTTATTGCAATAGTTTTAGTATTGGTTCCTCAAAATTAATTTTTTGTTTTCTTGATTTAATTTGATGCCATCTACAGATTCAATTGTTGTTATTCTTGCTAGTTCTATATTTGCCTTTTCATTTTGTAGCAATCTCATTCAACATCCTATGGGGGTAGGAGATTTTATGTTAAATGTTAACTAAATGACTCCATTTAAAATTACATTCTGCTTCACATAAAAAAAAAAAAAAATAAAAAAATAAAATTACATTCTGGGGGCTGGGATTGTGGCTCAGTGTTAGCACACTTGCCTAGCATGAGTGAGGCCCTGAGTTCGATTCTCAGCATCACATATAAATAAATAAAGGTCCATCAATAACTGATAACAATGTTTGAAATAAAATGAAATAAAATAAAATTACATTCTGAGTACTTTACTGTGTCTCATTGCCACTATAGATCCAAACATAAGATAAATGCAAACCTAGCCTTCAAGGTGCTAATACTTAGGCTGCTTAGGGAAGCAAGTGTGAGTGTACCCATGCAAACCAAATGAGGTGAAATCAGAGAAAATTCATGAGAAATTTTCTAATATAATCATTTGTATTGTTAACAGGCATAATAGTAGTTCAGAAATGGGAAAAATTAATGTTATTTTGAGCAGTAAAAGAAAATTTTCTGGAGAACATGGAACAGGTTTTGGATAAGTAGCCCTTATCCAAATTGCTTGGGACCAGAAGTGTTTCATATTTCTGGGTTTTGGGGGGTTTTACTTTTTTTTGAGAAAATATTAGTGATAACACCCAAGTTTAACTAGGAAAGTAACTTATATTTCACATATACCTCTGCACATAAGCTGAACTATAATTTTATACAATGCTTGTATTGGGCCAGTGTTAGATTTTTGTTGTTTTTTGTTGTTGTTAGTTTTGTTTTAATGWATAATGGTTTGTTGTAAAGGATATTACAAAGGATACAGATGAAGAACTCACAGGGCAAGGCATGTAGGAACAGGTGTAGAGTTTCCATGCTGTCTGGGTGTACCACCCTCCAGGAACCTCCACATGTTTGAAAGCTCTCTTTACTCTTTCGGGGGCTTTTACAAAGGCTTCAATACATAGGCATTATTGATTAAATTCTTAGTTATTGGTGATCAATTTAACCTACAGTTCTTCTCCCTTCCTGGAGAATGGAAGGGGGACAGATTAGAAGTCCCAACCCTCTAATTTGGCCTTGGTCTTTCTGTTAAGAACACTCATCCTGAAACTACCCAGGGGCTGCCAGTCATCAATCAACCCCTTAGCATATCAAAAGACAACTTATAATTTTGAAGATTCCAAGGATTTTAGGAGTTGTATGCCAGGTCATGGGGGGAAGAATACATTGGGATATTATTTCACAATATCACAGCCTACCCTCTAGTCTTCAAACAGGAATTCCTTACATCAAAAGAACATACAACTTGAAAAACAATGCTGCATTACTAAAACCCCTATCATATTGTATGAATAAATCTCCCAGAGTAAAACTACTCATGTCTACAGGCTTCTAGTCCAACTTACTGAGTTCCAAAAACAAGAGTGGTCTTAACAAACATAAAGCTTCATCCCTTCAGGCATCTGATGTAATTGAGCTAAGAGATAATGCCATCTCTTGCTCTGAATCTCTTTCAGAGTGTTCATATAATACTGGATTTCTCTCGTTACATAACTCATTTATTTGTTTTCTTACTCTCAACTACTAATCTTCCTTCTTTCCATTAATACTCTAATTTTCCACCTGTGGAAACAAAATCAAGTTTGTGCTTATCTAGACTTTAGGCAGCAATTGTAAAGGATATTTAAAAAAAAAAAAAAAAAACTAGTCTAACCTAGCTTGACTTTGACCCATCATATGAAATCAGGTGTGGACTTTTCCACTGAGGTATCATGACAGAGCTCAAAAAGTTTCAGATTTTGGAGCACTTCGGATTTGGGTTTTTGAAAATAGGGATGCTGAATCTGTAGAATTTACATTGACAATGGACTAAAATAGATACTTCAGGTGAAAGAAATTACATTAATAATGAAATGAAGCTAACGGTACATTATCTTCAATTCACAGAGTCATAAAGTCATGTGAAAAGTTTCCTGAGTGAAAGGAAGGTAGAAAGCAAAAAGGGGGACAATTTTAAGGCAATTCATAATGTTTAAGTAAATTTCAACCCATGTCCAAGGGGGTTTCTTTAGTTTCTTCACTAGGGGAAATTCTGGAGAATTTAGCCTGGAAATAGAATAAAGAATGGTGCAGAAGGAGAATAAACTTTAATCATATAAATGAAAAAAAGTGATATTAACAAGGCAAGAGTTAAAGGAAGGCCTAGTGACAGGAAGTATGGAAGAAAAAATTAGGGTGTCATGCATTAGAAAATGAGTGATTATCTTGACCTAATGTGGGAAGTGAAGGAAAAATAAAGAATCTATATGGTTTCAAGTTTTTTAGACAGGTGATTAAATAATGGTCTATTCTTTGACCATTAAGGTAATGGGTATTATTTATCTTTGGGGGAGGTATTGAAATAAGTGTTCTGACTTTGAATTTGAGGAGTGTGTTAGTCAGGTTTTTATCTCTGTGACCAAAATACCCAAACAAGAACAACTTAGAGGAGGAAAAGTTTTTTTATCGACCATGGTTTCAGAGGTCTCAGTTCGTAGCTGGCTGACTCCATTACTCTGGACCTGAGATGAGATGAAGTATCCTGGCAAGAAGGGCATGGCAGAGGAAAGCTGTTCAGGAAGCAGAGAGAGAGCAGAGGAGCCAGGCACAAGATATGAACCACAAAGGCATATCCGAATGACCCATTTCCTCCAGCCCCACCCACCTGCCTACAGTTACCACCCAGTTAGTCCCTTTAAATTATTAATCTATCAAATGGATTAATCCACTGATTAGRTTACAGCTCTTATGATCTAACAATTTCACCTTCTTCATTAACACAGGAGTTTTGGGGGACACCTCATATCCAAACCATAACAAAAGGGCAATGTACTATGTAAGGAAAGTTATCCTATAAATAGTTTAAAATTCTAATTTGAGCCTGGAGTTGGTGGGGGGGAAGAGCTGATGACAAAACATTGAAAATACAAACATGGTTATCTTCTATAGTGATTCCATGAACACATGTGAGTTAACAGATCATAAAGAGAGAAGAGAAGAATTTGGGGAGATACACATGCTTAAGGAATTGAGGGTAATAAGAAAAGGGACAGAGCAGTATGCTGTTCAAATAAAAGAAAAATTTGTAGAGAAAAAAAATTGAARGTTAATAGGAAAACACAGTAAATTGGGTATTCAGATGCAATTCTCTCTGTCTTACAGTTTGGGTAGAGACCCCAAAGTCAATTCTTCCCATATTCTAAAGTCATAATCACCAAGGCAGGACTTTACAAGAGAGTGTTCCCAAACTGGTTCCTTCCCCCAGTAACCTGCAATATATTTGAAAGACTGGGAGTTCATAAGAAAGGCTAGTAGGGTGGCAGAGGTGCAGCGGGCGACCCTCTGGACTCTTGCAGACATGGCACTCCAAGAGGCGCGGTGCGCGTTTGCTGCAGCCTGGAGCAGCCCCTGTGCCCGCTGCACTCTGCCCGCCAGCGGCCGTGGCGGGTGAGGGTGGCGCTGTGCGGGCGCTGAGCACATGACCCGCTCTGCTCTCCGTGCGAAAATTCACAGAGAAACATGAATGGATAACTACAGGGAATCATATTGGAATAGTGGGAATCAGCAATTTTGCACAGGAAGCTCTGGGAGATGTTGTTTACTGTAGTCTGCCTGAAGTTGGGACAAAATTGAAAAAACAAGATGAGTTTGGTGCTTTGGAAAGTGTGAAAGCTGCCAGTGAACTCTATTCTCTTCTATCAGGAGAAGTAACTGAAATTAATGAGGCACTTGCAGAAAACCCAGGGTTTGTGAACAAATCTTGCTATGAAGATGATTAGCTGATAAAGATGACACTGAGTGACCCTTCAGCACTAGATGACCTAGTAAGCAAAGAAGCTTATGAGAAATACATAAAATCTATTGAGTGGAAATGGCACCCTAAAGAAACTAGTGTTTATAACTTCTGCAGTTGTCTTAAATTAGTGGTGGATAGAAGACTTAAAAAACTACTCTCAGCCCTGCTACTGGAAGAAGATACCCCTTAACTTCCCAATGACTGCAGATAAACACAATATGCATCTTTTTTTTACAATTCCTTATTATTTTTAGAGTAGGAATTAGACTGATATCAGAATTCATGAAATTATCTGTGGCAAAAACTACTTATAAAAAGTATGTAATTCAAGGATAATCTTGTTATAAGCCTAATAAAATATTGTAACTTGCTTTCACCCATCCCTGGATTTGGGTCAATATACTTAATGATCTTCCTTTGGAAAAAAAAAAAAAACTGGGCATGGAAGAAAGTGTGTGTTTTATAGTGTCAGAAGAACAATACTGTTTTAATTTTATAATGTACTGCATTTACTGGTGTTACTCTTATACACTTTCAACAAAATAAGAAATAAAATATTCAACTTCATTTAAAAAAAAAAGAAAGAAAGAAAAGCTAGTAGAATTTCTCTGGAGAGAGTTTTCTGAGTGCTGTGCCTCCTTCCTGCATGTGGGTACTCTCCACAAGTAAAAGAGGCCTCAGAGAACCACATGGGGAAGCTAACTGGGTCTCTTGGTTTGTGAATGGGGAAACAAGGACTACTTTTGACTATGATCTAGAAAATTTGAAGACAATAGGCTGCTTGCAGGTACAGTGACAATAGGCTAAAGAGTGATGTGATGGACARAAATAGGGCCAAAGTGTGGGGGGGTGTTCACTTTCAATGGATTCAAATATGCACACCATTAAAGGAAATTATACTTTGCTAGGCATGCTGGTGTGCACATGAAGTCCCAGCTATTCTGAAAGCTGAGGCAGGAGGATCACTGAACCCAGGAGTTTGAGACCAGCCTGGGCAACTTAATGAGGCCCTGTCTGAAAAAAAGGGAAACTGGGCCGGGCACGATGGCGCAAGACTGTAAATCCAGCAGCTCAGATGGCTGAGACAGGAGGATCACGAGTTCAAAGCCAGCCTAGGCAAGGCACTAAGCAACTCAGTGAGACCCTGTCTCTAATAAAATACAAAATTGGGCTGGGGATGTGGCTCAGTGGTTGAATGCCCCTGAGTTCAATCCCTGGTCCCCCCACTAAAAAAAGAAAAGAAAAAGAAAAAAGGGAAACTATACTTGAGCTCTCATGAAAGGCACCACCCCTGCCTACATAAAGGGTTAGGTGACCCCAAAAGAATATGTGTGGGGAAAAAAAACATAGGAGTCCATGATTGGTGGGTGATTGGTAAATACAGAAGGCATCACCTGACTCCCAGAACTTTAGGTGACCACTTCTCAGTTACAAGATAAAAATATCTGAAGAACCCAGTCTATGTGTTAAAAGTTGGAATGCTAGCTCTCTCTCTCCTCAAAAGAAAAACCTAATATTGAGCATTCGATACCTAAGTACTTTTGGCCAAGAAAATAGTCACATAAAATTTTGATCCTCTCCTTCTATGTGTGTCTAACCTCTAGAAGGTTTGAAAAATGGCGAGTGGGAGATCAAGTTTAGTGATAAAAACAAAATGAATGATCATACCTCTCTGTTCAATGGTACCTCTTGAGTGTGATTCAGGCCCAATCTTTGGGAAGGAAGAAGTTTTTAAATGTTTGGAGACTAAAGCTATGTAAGTAGACTGGGATAGACTTTTCATCACCTGGAAATTAATATTACCTGGAAATTTAGAGCATTTATTCATATCTGAAATCCATACTATCAAAAGAACTATACAAATGCAATGCAACTCCCATCGAAAGTCCAATGACATTCCTCATACATAGAAAAAGCAGTCATGTAATTCATTAGGAAAAATAAGAGGCCCAGAATAGACAAAGTAATCCTTAGCAAGAAAAGTGAAGCAGGAAGCATCACAATAGCAGCCCTTAAATTATACTATAGAGCTACAGTAAAAAAAAAAAAAAAAAAAAAAAACAGCATGATATTGGCACCAAAGCAAGCATGAAAACCAACAGGATAAAATAGAAGATACAGAGAAAAACCCACGTAAATAGTTATATCATACTTGACAAAGGTGCCAAAATATACTTTGGAGAAAAGATAGCCTCTTTAACAAATGATGCTGGGAAAATTGGGAATCCATATGTAGTAGAATGAAACTTAACCCCTGTTTCTTACCCTGTACAAAATTCAAAGTGAATCAAAGAACTAGGAATTAAACCAGAAATCCTGCACTGCTAGAAGAAAATGTAGGCCCAACCCTCCAACATATCTGCTCAGGAACTGACTACCTTAGCAAGACTCCTAAAGCACAAGAAATAAAATCAAAAATCAATAAATGAGACATAATATGAAATTAAAACCTTCTTCACAGCAAAGAAAACAAGAGCATGAAGAAAGAGCCTACACAGTGGGAGAAAATCTTTGCCACCTGCCCCTCAGATAGGGCATTAATTTCCAAGATACATAAAGAACTCAAAAAACTGCCAGAACAGTGGCACACACCTGTAATCCCAGCAGTTCAGGAGGCTGAGACAGGATTAGACAAAAGAGAATGAAGGGAAGGGAACAGGGATGGAAAAAAGAAAGACAGTGGAATGAATCTGACATAACTTTCCAATGTACAAATATGAATTTAACACAGTGAATCTCAACATTGTGCACATCCACAAGAATTAATTTAAAAATAAAAACTATGAGTAAATGGCAGAAAGATCAATAGAGGAAAGGGAATGGGGATGGAGAGGGAAGAGGAAGACGAGATAATGGGGTCTGAATTAGAAAAAAAAGATATATTCCATGCTTTTATAATTATGTCAAAATGAATTCTACTGTCATATATAACTAAAAATATTTTAAAAGAATATGACACCTTAACTAAGATTATATGATTTGATTATTACTGTAGAGATGTAGAGGAAGTTTTAAATATATTGCATTTAATTTACTCTTTAATGTTATTTTTCTGATTTGCAGTTTCTGTAATCTAATGGCTATATTTGCAATAGAGACCTATGGCATCATTCCCAGGTAAGGAGAGGCTTTAGTGAAGGAATTTCTAAAATATATGAGTAGTGGATAAAAAGGAAAGGCACCCCAATATTCCCCAAAACAAAGCCTGAGCAATCACTTATCAGGGTCCCCAGCTTAAAATCCTATTATCCAAAATATCATATGACATGTAATTGAACCCAATCCTAAAAACAAACCCACAAACAAAAGAATTAAATGAAGTGAGTCTTTTTTTTTTTTTTTTTTTTTTTTTTGGTTCTCTGTGAAATTTATCTTCCCAAGTGACAGGCTTGCTATTTTCCTAAAGCACTAATATTTCTGCCTTTACATGATCTTTTAAAAACAATACGTGTGTACTATGGGTACAACAGGAAGGAATTCCTGAAAAATCCTATTACTACACCCAGTATCCCCTGCCTTCCTATTAGACATGACTCCACCTACTTGGCAGGTGGTAAAATACTGCAGTGGAGACAGTGCACTGACCATCATTCTGATGTATCCAGGAAACAACTAGTAAAGGCATGTGCCTGGTCTCAGTTCCAGTTCCCTTAGAGGACACTTAGAAAAAGTCATAATATTTAAGTTAGGACATTAAATGACATTGCTTCTGTCCTGGGTCTGGTATTGTAGGGGGTTGTTTTCTTTTGTGTTTTTTTGTTTGTTTGTTTGTTTGTGGTTTTTTTTTTTTTGTAAAATGTTAATTAAAAGTAGAAGACAGATTCTGGGGTTATATCTCAGCGACAGAGCGCTTGCCTAGCATGTGCAAGGCCCTGGGTTCAATTCCCAGCACACACACGCACGCACACACACACACACACACACACACACACACACACACACAAGGTAGAAGCTATTTATGGCCTATTTTCAGTATTACTGATGATTCAGTGTTTCATGGTCATGGAAGGTTAATGGTATGAATAATCTGTAGATAAGATAAAGCAAGTGTCATTTCTCACTTAACTTTGGGAAACATACATAACTGCTTCACAATGACTTCTCTTCCTCATGACATTGGCATCTTTGATTTAGCTGAATAGAGGGTGGTAGTGTTCACCTAAGTACCCACTAACATAAGAAGGAGCCAAGGGAGGAAGGGAAGAGAGGAGAAAGAATAAAGTTAACCCATTTGCCCCAGCTCTCACCCACAAGCAGCTGAATTCCAGCAGCCAAAGCATACCTGTGTGGCATAGGGAGTGGTCCACTAATTTAGTAACTGTAGTTTAGCCTCTGTTAACACCTGGACCCTACAGGATACCAGAGACAGATAGGGGCCAGCTGGGGGTGAACAACTTCCAGTAAAAGAGCCCTTTCTGTGAGCAGTTTTCCCAATTTTTCCATTCTATCCTCTGAAATTGCCACCACTGAACTAGTCTCAACTGTCCTGAGTCCTCCCTCTATCCCCTTAGGTGAAACCAGCCTTCTCCTGAGGATACTGCTTCACCTCCAGCCCTTCTTTGTAATGCTATTTTCTTACACTCTCTTTGTACCTCAGGGAATATATATCCTTGAGGTTCAGGGCCTCTGCTATAGCCCTAGCTCATTGTTTATGTCCTCCCTAAATTCTCCTTCATTCATCAATAACTGGCCCTGTCACACTGATTTCCTCTCCATAATGAACCCCACCATCAGTGTCTACGTTACCAATCCTGCTCAACATCATGGCCTTTCCTCATGCTTGGTGACCTCCTCCTCTACTGCACCTCAGCTGTCTGCTCCCATAGTCCCACTCTAGACACTGTTATTACTGGTAACTCTTCTGTTTCCTAAAGCATCATTCCAGGAATCACATTTTGGACATGTCCAAAAGTGAATTCATGATCTTACCACACACTCTCCTACCCAATTATCTGTCCCACCTTACAACTGATCCATCTGGGTCATCACACACAGTCCTGTGGATTGTCCTTGTGCAGCTCCAGGAGGGTTAATTCATATAACCTACGGTGTTGATTGTGCACTCTGGAGTTCAACAAGGTGGCGACCCTGTTTTCCAATTTTCCCTCTTCCAGGAAATAGTATATCTGACTATGTAAGCTTACAAGTCAAAAACAAAAATGATAAACCTAACATTCATATTCAAACCACCATTAGCTCCCACTCATTTAATCTCCWAAGTAGGCCTTGAATAGATCCACTTCTTACTAACCATCACCACTACCCCAATCCAAACTACCATTATTTCTGAAATGGACTACTAACCAAACTCTCCTTATTCACTCCTACTTTTTTATAGTTCTTTCTCGTCTTTGGAGCCAGGGTAATATTTTCAAAATGGTAATTGTAGTAACTTTGAACACATTAAGTTTCTTTCTATAGAAGTAAAATTCCTTCATATGGTCTAGAAGGCCTCACATGATCTACCCACTAACTACTTCTCCTTATCTTGGATCATGCACTTACTTAGCTCCAGACCCACCAAACTTCTCTCAGTCCCTAGCTTCTCTGAACTCTGTCCCATAGCAGGAACTTTCCACATGTTATTCCCTGTGTCTGGAATCTCTTCATTTCCTTCTTTATTATTCAACTTTACCAACTTCTGTTTATTCTTCAGATTTGGGGGATAATTATCTTTTTCCCAAAAAGGTACTCTGGATTCCATTTACCACATTAAATCCTACTACAATGAGATTTCACTGCACTATATATCTCTCCTTCTTAGTTCTTTATCACAGTTGCAGTTTTAGATTTATTTTCTCCTTGATCATTTGATTATGTCCCCACTAGAAGAGACATGGGGCCCATGTCTATTTTTCCTCATCATTGTCCTGCCAGCAACTTGTACAATGCCTGAAAGGTATCAAATGGTTGTTATATTATTTTGTTAAAGAAAAAATACATTCTCTAGAGCCCAATAATGTTTACAGTCACAGATGAGAATGATCAGACTAAGACAACTAAGGGAACTTACAGAAACTGTAACACTGATAATGATAATTATGGTTTAAAAGGGAACCATAACCTCAGATACTAGGACACCAAATAGAAAGCAAATCTACCCTGAAGGGAGGCACCCATGCAGAGTCCTGAGTGAAGAGGCACATGTGCGGCATCCACCAAGAGTAACATTTAATAAATGATGTATTCACTCACACACACACACACACACACACACACACCTTAAATTCAAAATTCCCCAAAGTAAACCAGCCATATTCACACACACAAGAAAGACTCTAAGCTGGACATGGTAGAATATACCTATGGCCCCAGCTACTCAGGAGGCTGAGGCAAGAGGATCCCTTGGTCCAGGAGTTTGAGACCAGCCTCAGGAACATAGCAAGACCTAATTTTTTGACAGGGGTGGGGGGTGGAGAGAAGAAGGAGGAGGAGAAAAATGCTCTTCCATTTGAATCCTCTATTTGTGGATTGTGATGCATCCCTTTGATAAGCTATCCCGAAACTTGGGTAACATCATTTATTCATGTTTCTCAAACACCACATCTTAAACCATCATGGAAATCAATCCAACTTAACTGCCAAACATATGTCCACTTCTCTCCATTCCTTCAGCCACTAGTTAAGACCCATATCATAACTAAATTATTACAGATATCTCAGAACTGGTTTTCCTGTCTCTGCACTCAGGCTTCCCTTTTATCCATTCTTCACGCTACTATCAGAATCATCTTTTTAAAATGTCAATCCTATGTCATATCCCCTGAAGTTCCCTCTTGCCTTTCCACTAAAATCCACGCTCTCTAGCCTGATGTAAACTGTCTTTCTCATCTGACCCCTGCCTACCACCTATCTCTAACTACTCTACCCAGCACCTGAGTTCCAGAAAATTGAGTTATCCAGAATGTTCYAGGAGTGGTTTCAAGGTTTCCTCACACTTTCATGGCCTTCCGTATGCTTCTCCCTTTGCTTGCAACGCTTACTTCACTCCCAGGTTTCATCCACCCCTACCCACACGTTCCAGGGTGCCCTCCACTAGAGGACCTTCTGTGAGGCATGGCTCCCACAGAACTGCATGCTCTTCTTTATCATACTGATCACATTATTTTCCTCCCTGGTCAGCCTCAAATTTATTTATTTTTGTGTGGTGCTGAGGATTGAGCCCAGTGCCTCACGCACGCTAGGCAAACCCGCTACCACTGAACTACAACCCCAGGCCCAGCCTCAAACACTTTAATACCTTGAGGATAGACACTATGTCTTATTGATCTTTGTTCTCAGTCATTGGCATAGTAATTAGGTATTCAGAAACTATTTGACTGAGTAAATTAACAATGAACATGTGAACAATGACTTCTAACAATGACTTCTAATGATTTTTGTTGTTGTTGTTATTTCAGCCCAAGCTTCTATCTGGTTGCATCTATACTCTTTGTCCTGATGCTACTGTTTTTCACGATTCTAGTTCTGAGCTACTTCCAGTATATGAGGGTTTATAGATACTATATTTATAAACCACTTAACAAACCACCAGGAAAACAAAAGAAAAATTAGTTTACTCTGAATATATATATGAGGAAAGAATGTATGTGTGTATGTATACACACATATATATGGCTATATTGAGAGTGTATGTTTAACCAAAAATACTAAATAGAAGCCCAAAATATTATCAAACTCAAAACCCAAAAAGTGTTCTTAAATTACCCATAAACAGAAATATTTTTATATATAGTATATTATTAAATTTAAATATTTAATGTGTATTAATTTGAAAGATATTCTACATACTCTTATAGGGCATTTTAAAAAATTAAGTTTGGTTATTATAATCCTAAGTATAAATTAAATATTTGTAAAAATGAAAATGTCAAATATTATTTTGCATGAAACTTTATATGATTGTAATTAATGTAATATAATGTAATGAAGGACTTAATAAAAGTGTGTGAATTTAAGAAATCTTTCTTAAGCAGATTTCAGAAGTTTTCCTCATAGTAGATTCATATATGAAATGTAAAAGTATTATATTGAAAATGAGATAGCTGGCACTCTAAGTTTTATTGCTAAGTTTTAACATTTAAGTTCAATGCTTAACATAAACTTCTTAATTTGTCCAAATATTATTGTATTTGTATTTGTTAGGGTTCAACCACAGAAGCATAACCAGAACGAGGTGTGTGTGTGTGTGTGTGTGTGTGTGTGTGTGTGTGTGTGCAAAGAGATTTATTGAAAAATAATTGGCTATGTGATTGTCTGAAATCTGCAGCATAGGCAATCAGGAATAGATCACAGGCAAAATGAAACTCCAAAGGCAAAGACCTGTCCACAGTTCTACAGATTAGGAATAGGAATAAGATAGGGATACCTGCTACTCCTTTCTGTTTTGAAAGTTCTGACATTATCATAATGAGTCTAAACACTGGTGGGGAGAGAAAGATAAAAATTCTTTTTAAATAACAAGATTATATGCCTAAGAAAACCAAAATTCAAGTTTTTCCAGACTTGCAGATTGCTGAGAAACTATTGAGAGACATAGCAGTAAATAGCTAGGCAGAGGAACCAGGTGTCTCAGTAGTAGCTTATAAAGATTATCATCAGTAATGGAAAGGAAGACATAATTGAACAATAAACTAAAGACCTGGGCATCACAGGGCTTCAGAAATGTTTGAACACAGCCAAGACATGTTATGGGAAGGTTGGAAGCCCTGATATGGAAAACCTGTGATCCTAAAGCATCACTAAAACATTTAGTGTTAGCTCTCCTCTGCAGGTCAGGAATAACCGCAGAAGAGGTAGTCACAGAACTGTGTCATTAATATTCATGGGCAGGTAAGAGATGCCTGGTAGTGATGCTATACTTTCAGAAAGCCTACATTACCATAAAGACATGAGCAGCCATGGGGACTGCTCAACTCGTAGGGAGTAAAGACAAGAGAATGAGGTGTTGTTAGAACAAAAATTGTTGGTTATTCTATAAGGTTATTGATTAACATCTATTTTTTTAAAAAGATATGGAAGAGGAGACCCAGGGAAGTTGTMCCAATAAAAAGTCATGGTCCCTTGCAAAGTATCCCAGACCTGAGTAAAAGTTCAGATCCAGAACTCATTGACTGAAGAGGTGGCAGGAGCCTTATGCAACACTATGGCAAATGGAGGAACCTGAAAAGTCTCCCAAAAACCTATGACTATTTATTCAGGTGACTGTATTGGGGAAAGAGAATAACCAGACATTTTTGATGACTATTATACACAGGTCTGAGTTGATAATATTCAGAGGCCCTAAGTGTCATCACTTTCTCCTTTAGAGTTAGGGCCTATGAGAGCCACAGTGGCTTCTCTCCTACAAGAGTCATTGTCTCAGTCTTCAACTGCACAGTTGGAATTGATATACCTAGAAGTTGGAGTAAAGCCCCCATGGGGACTCTGGTCTATGAAGTAGGAGCAATCACAGTGGAGAAGACCAAATGGAAATCTCTATTCTGCCCCCCCACACACACACACACAACTTGACAAAATGAGAAAATCATTATTATTTTCCAGGGGCTAGGGAGAGGAAGGTAGCAGAAATTAATGGTACAATTAGAGACCTAAAAGATACAAGGTTGTTGGTCTCTGACATATCTTTGTACTTGCCAGTCTTGACCCCTACAGAAAATGGGTAAATCGTGGAGAATACCATCAACTCCCACAGATTTAATCAMGTAGTAGCACCAATTGCAACTGGTATGCCAGATGTGGTAAACACTGCTAGGGCAAGTTTGTCAGACTCCAGGTATATGCTATGCAACTGTCAACTTGGAAAATGTGTTATTTTCTATCCCAATGAGAGAAGAGTATCAGAAATAGTTCATATTCCCAGACAATATTAAATTATCTGCCCATTTGCTAGAATTCTAAAGTATACATCCTCATATAGATGATGTTATGACAGCAAACCAAGTTCATGTTTGACCTGATCATCACATTAGGGATGCAATGATGTTGTAGGCCCAGGTCATGTTGCACCAATTAAGAATGAAGCAGTTGGGCTGGGGTTGTGGTTGAGCRGTAGAGTGCTTGCCCAGCATGTATGAAGCCCTGGATTCGATCCCCAGCACCACATGAAAACAAATAAATAAAATAAAAGTACTGTGTCCAACTACAACAAAAAAAAATAAATATTTTTTAAAAAATGAAGCAGGGGGCTGGGATTGTGGCTCAGCCGTAGAGCGCTCACCTAGCAAGTGTGAGGCCCTGGGTTCGATCTTTTGCACCACAAAAAAATAAATTTCAATGAAGATTATCTCCATCTTATCACCAATATGAAATAATTTTCCTGGAGAAGCAAAAAATTGGCCAATGAGCTATGCTGAATTCTTACCACATAACCAGGAAAAATTATATGCCTTGGGTGAAGCCATCACCTGCTCCAGATATGGTATAACAGTATTGGCCTGGGTAACTTCCACAACTATTATTATCAAAGACCTTGCTAATAATATACACTTGCATTTAGACAAACTTGTATAATTACCAATGGCTTAAAAAAATCACCCTATAACTAAAGACATCTAATACAAAGAATATCATTATCCTTTGAATTTTCCAATTCTGTTATCTCCTCAGGTGGCAATTTTGAAATGGAAAAATCAACTAAGAGCTATTGGAGAATTCCCCCCAGCACCACCTTTTAACACTGACTAGCTGGCAACCTGAGCTGGGTTCACAAGAGCTGGCTCCACCAATAACTTAAGAAAATGGCAAAAGAAGCATGCAACACACAGAAATTCCTTTTGCTTGCAGGAATCAGGGATGGTTCTCAACTTTAAGGGTCTGTTGGAAAGAGACAGCTTGCACCTGGATTCTTTATTTTTATAGAGGGCAGGGGAGCTCACAAAGGGAGGTTCAATGGAATGTTCTTTCCAAATAAGGCAAGGGGCCATGTTTCAGGGAATTGAGTCTAGCTTTGTGATGTCTTAGGTCAGCAGATTGACATCTTGGAAGGCCACACCCATCTCAGGTGCTGTGTGGGATCAAAGGCAGAGCTAGCGTGGGGTGGGGGTGGGGGGACCATGTTGCACAGCCCAGTCAGGGAAGCATGCGCTCAAATGCTCACAGCTCACACACACAGCCCATGGCTAGCTCATGACAGGACTACATGTCCAACCAAAGTACTCAGTGTAGTCAACCAATGACAACTGATCTAGCAGAGAATGAGCCAGGGGGTCTGGGAGAGGAACTGAGGAACCTTCCTCACGATGGATCCAAAAGACCAGCAGTACTCTGAAACACATAAGCCATTCTTCACTTTGTTAATTTAGTGGAGGTAACAGAGTTTTATATAGCCATCTGTAATAGCCAGCTTCCAAGATGGGCTCCAATAATCACTGCCTCCTGGTATTCACATCCTTGTGTAGCCTCCTCTCACATTGCTCCAGAGTTGTTTAACATGACCAATAGCATGAAGCAGAAGTGATAGATAAGATTGTAAGACACTGTGGTTTCCTTCTTGGTCATGCCTCTACTTTTTTGCATCAATTGCTCTGAAAGCAACAGCTACCATGGCGTGAGCAGCCCTACCAAGAGGCCCATGTAGTGATACTAAAGCTTCCTGCCTATAATGATATGGGTAATCTTGGAAGCTGATCCTCAGGCCCCAGTCAAGTCATGAAATGATCATAGCTGCACCAATATGATGGACTACATACAACTCCACCAGAGACTCAAGTTAGTTGAAAAATACTCACCTAAACTGTTCTGGATTCCTGGACCCTAGCAACCATGAAATAATTAGTGTTTGTTTTAAAATTCTGTGTTTAGAGTTAAGTTGGTACACAATAAAAACAAAGCTTTAAATTTTATTTTCCTTTATCATGGCTTGGACACCTTATCAGTTACCAATTTTTTCCATTTCAAAATTGCATGTGACTGTGTGTTTAAGCACCCCTAGGTTTAATCCCTGGTACCAAAAAAAAAAAAAAAAAGTCACACCATAACTAAAAACATCTAAGACAAAGAACATCATTCTCTCCTGAGTTTTCCAGCTCTGCCTTCTCCTCAGATAGCTGACAATTTTGAGGGACTTCCTGTTTTCTATCCTGTCAGCATGAATTCAGCCAGGCTTCTTCATTATAGCAGTAGCAGTTGATCAGTTGCAGTGGTTAGTTTCTAGCTTGATGTTTTAAAATTTTTTTAGGAGCAGCATCATTATGCCTCTTGAGAAATACCAGCAGTTCTCCTCTTCAGAACTTTGAATTCCAAATGCAAAAATGTTTAAATTCTAACCTCTTTCCTTTGTTCTTTCAGGCTTAGGAGTGACAGCTCCTTCTGGCTCTGATACCTTAGTGATCCCTTTTTGTCTTTTTAGCTCTCCAATATCCAACTTATAACTTTATATTTTCCTTTTATAATCAGTCTTCTGACATCTCAAATAAGTCTTCCTATTATGCTCTATTACTGCTCATCTCCTTCAATTTAAATTATAAATTTATGAGGGACAATATATATTCATAATACATTATCTTCCACAGGATTATAAGCTTCCTGAGGATAGTAAAATTTCTGTTTTATCATGGATGAAATAGTGATACACAATGGCTGACACATAATTTTATACTTGTTCAGTGWCTGAACAATGAACAATGAATGATTTCTCTTATTGTAGATCAATACCTCTTCTAATTTTTATGCCCCTTTTCTCATCTCTCTCTACGATAATCTTGCCTCGAAATTCATTGAGAAAATCAAAGTAAACCAGAAAATAACATCTCCATTTCCCACATCCAATATTCCTAGCCTGCCTTTCTTCATCCTTCTATTCCATCACTATGCACCTGCATGTGACTTCTATGTTGTCACTATGGATGAAGCATCCCTCCTACCAAAGGCCAGCTCCTCCCATTAGCTCCCTAGCTCCCTAGATCCCTCCCCCTTTGTTGCCCTTGAAAATCTCCTTCTTCCTAAATAATTTCTTTCTCTTTACATATAAATGTGCTCTGAGTACCTTCCATCTTTAAAATACCTTCTTTCAACTACACTGCCCTATCTAGCAATTGCCCCAAGTTTTAGAGTTGTCTCCACTAATTTGCTTCTCAAATCATTTCATTAAATCCCAGTCCTCCATGATTCTGCTCACCAGGCTATTTATCTCTATATTGCTGAGCCCCAATCTTGTGACTACTTCATTACTATGTTCTTTCCGATTTCCCTCCTATCCCCATGGCTCCTCTTCTTTCTTGGCCTCTAAATGGTAAAGGGTCCTAGAGCTTTGTCCTTGGAGATCTTATTTCTTTCTACTTAAATATATCCAGTCCTAAGTCTTCAAAGTCTATTTATAATGGCCATGACAATACTTTGTTTATGCAAATGCATCTTTGACATGGATATCTAAAAGACATCTCTAAATTAATATGACCAAACCATAACTCCCCCCCCAACCATGTTTCCACATACTATAAATGGCATTCCCATCCACCCAGATGCTCAAGACAAACATCTAAAAATTCTCAAAGTCTCTTCCCAACTCAGCAGCCAACTCATTAGCAAGTTTCGTAGACTGTACCTCCAAAATATTTGAATTCTAATTTTCTCAGTCTCCTCCACTATTAGCAACATCTAAGCCACCTTCTGAATGCACTTCTGGAATAGCTTATTAATTGGTTGAACCAATTAGCTTTTCCCACATAACCACTTCCCAAACATTGCAATTTAAAAGATTTCCCACATTCTTTGGGGCATTGTGGGTGTTTCATATGGTTGCATGGGCTCAGCTAAAGCAGGATGGACTCAGATAGCCTTACATATTTCAGCTGGTGGGTAATGACTATGTAACCTGCATCATGAGGTGGTGGTCAGCTAGAAGACAAGCCCCAATTCAAAAGTGCTTTTCAAGTCTCTGTTGCATCATATTAATTAATGGACCAAAGCATGTTATATGCCAGCCCAGAATCAGGGGAGACACCAAAAGTCTTGTAATTTGGGACATTGGTTATTTTTACAATCTACCACACTGATCTCCTCTTTGCCTCTAAAACACAGCAACCCAAGTAATCATAAAAATACACTCCTTTCACCCCCTTATCCAATCTCTCCTAAATCTTCACTTTAAATCAAACCCTATCACGAATTTAAAAACCCTTTCAGGATCTGGTTTCTGACTACCCATCCAATTTATTTCATACCATAGCTTTCTTGCCCATTAGCTTTGGGTCACAAAGGTCTCTTGTTTCCTTGAATACAGAAAATACTTTAATACCTTAGGTCTTTGTATTTCTGTTTCCCTTGACTGATATACTTTTTCCTCTGAATATGTGCGGGGCTGACTTTGTCATTAAGATTTCATCTGAGAACTCACCACAAAGTCCTTCCCCCGTGCAGCCAGTCTAAGATCATTCTCTATCATTTTAATTTTCTACAAAGCACTGATTCTTTGCTTGTGCTCCCACCCCCTCCTGTTTAATCACTGCATTCCTCAGAGCCTTACAACACTGTGTGACATATGTCAGGCACACAACAAACATTTGCTGAATGAATGTACAAGCGCCTTCTGGTTCCTAGGATTCTGCTAATCTACGAGTGCAGTACTATTCCCATTGGGCAGAATAGTCTCACAAAATGTAAATTCCACCCTGAGAATTAACTGGATACGTGTCACACCCCACCCTACACCAGCAAATTGCCTCCTCTATTTCTTCACTCCTGCCCTGGGCGGGGGGAGGTATTCGGAGGAATTTGGAAATTTTAGGATCATCACTTTAGCCTTTTGACACATTCCGTTGACTTCATCAGACTCAATGCGACGTTAGCAGGGGCAGAGGTAGCGCTTGAGAGCTTTAAGACAGCAGAGTTCACCGCTTGTCAAGGACGAACAGCAAAAAAGATCCGAAAGCAGATCCAAAGCAGTGCGTGCTGGGATCTGTAGTTTCCCAGGGAGATCTGCAGAGGCTCGGGACCCAGAAGCATGCTGGGAGTTGTAGTCTAGACTGTAAAGACTCCGCCTCTGTGCTTTCAGTAGCGAAGGGGGCATCCCGCTCTGCATGCTGGGAATTGTAGTCTCTGTGGGACCTCGCGCCTCCAGGGTGGAGAGGCTCCGAGGCTTGCCGCCATTTTAGGTCCCAAGGTGCAGCGACCAAGAACTAGAGCGCAGGCGGGCTCAGCCCCGGCGCCGGGCCGGCCCCGCCTCCGGGGCGCCTGGCGCCCGCCCCTCTCTCAAGCCCCGCCTTTCCCCACGTGTCTGTCGCCGAGGGGAGGTGCCTGAGCCCGAGCGGGCCGCCACCGGCCCGACCCGGTCCCTCGCACAAGAGTCGGCGGCGCCCGGGAGCGGCCCGGCTGCCCGATGCTTCAGCCCTGGCTGCGGCGGGCCGGGCTGTACGTTTAGTGCCCGGCGCAGGCCCCCTGAAGCTCCCGCGGGGGTGGGAGCGGCCTCCGCCCCGCGGAGACTGAGCGGCTCGAGGACGAGGCGGCGGCCGCGGGGAGGATGGGGGCTAACCAGTTAGTGGTGCTCAACGTGTACGACATGGTGAGTGCGGCCCCTGGCGGCCCCGGCCCAGCCTGGCGTCCTCTCGCGGGTCGGGTTCGGACCCCGGCCCCGGGTGCTTCCTCTCTGGCATCCCCGCCTCCAGCTTAGTTCTCAGGTTGGGGGGAGGGGAGAGTAGTAATATTTTCTAATCCTTGCATTAGTCGACGCTCCTGTTAGTGCTGCCCGGTCAGCCGAGGGCTTCTGCCCAGGCACTGGAGGCTTAAACCGCTCGCTTCCCCTCAGCTTCCCTGGCCCTGGGCCCGACCCCTGGGCGTTTGAGCAGTGTCCTTTCCGCAAAGCTTCCGTCGTGGTTCCGACCTTTGTGCCACCTCCTGGCCCGCCGGATGCCCCAGTCCCGCGGTCTTGATCCGCCAGCGCAACCCGCTCCTCTGCTTCTGCGGAACCGTACATTCTAAATGCTCTCAAGTCTTCAAAAACTCCCGAGCCCCTCTAAGTCCACAAAGTCGCAGCTGTCGATATCCCTGGTAGCTTCTCCCCAGGGGTGAACCAACACATCCTTGCCTCCAAGGCAACCTTATTAAAATTAATGAGGCTAAAATTTATCAAGAAAATAGCCCGGCTGAATTATTTAGAGATCACAGTGGGGCTCCTTTCCTAGATTCTGAAGACCACTTTCCAGGTGATGCAACAGGTGGATGACGTGACCACAGGAGAGGGAAGGGAAGAACTTGTTTATTAGGTTATCCAAGTTTGAAGTACTGTGAGCGTACAGACTTGAATGCAAGGACTGGTTCGCCTGATCATTGCTATTGAAGTACCTCCAGAAAAAGCATCCGGTAGACAATTATCTTTCCAGTTGGATGCATGCTTGGGTTTGTTGGCTTGCCTTTGGTTACTTAGTTTTTGTTTGTAAAGAATTACCTCCGCCAGCACCGTATAAAATTTCTTGTAAGTGGACTGACAGATGAAAAATTTCCCGTCATTATTTTTGTTGGCTTAAAGATCCAGAAAAGCAGAAACTCTGCAGTCGAGTCTTGATTCTTATTTACAGACCTAAACATTTTATTCTCTCATGTTCTTGTGTTTCGAATGTAATATAGAAAGGGATTCTGCATGCCATATCTGGGAAGTATGTCAGCGGGGCATAAGGTTTACCTCTTTAAGCCTGGAGGTGAAAAATAGTGGGTTAACATACTAAGAAAAGTGAAGCGTGATAAGAAAATTAAAGAATAATCAAAAGATCCTAAAAGCATGGAATTTTGTAAGGTCTATAGCCTGTTGTTGCTTAAGAAATAAGTTTTCAGATTTAAACGTCTTGTGTTATCTGGATACCTTTCTTTATTAAAACTTTATATTACTCTTCTTTATTTTAGTGCTCCCCATCTGAATTTGTTTCTTTTTTATTCATAAATACTATAGCAACTTGACCCTTTAGTATATATTCTACTCTTGAGAATATATCTTGAGATATGTCTTATTTTTTTGTAAACAGTTCATTCAGTGGTCAGAGACCACTGTTTCAGAGCCTAACTTCTGTGAACTTAGAGGGAGTATTGCTTTTTAAATAAAATTGATTATACTTTCCTTAGCATATATTGGGGTATTCTGAGAATCAGGAAAACAATAGCTAATTGTGGTAAACTGGGAAAGGCTAAAGAGTATATCCAAGTCAATATTTTTTAGGGGAAAAGTGTTCCGAACAATGTTAAAATATCAACTTAATTTACAAAACTTTATTCCTCCATCACTTTTGTAAAGTAGGTAGATAAACGGGAAGCAGGCAGAGAAAAGGGTGAGTTGGCCAGATAACTAAAAATAGGATCTAGAATTTCCAGACTATAATCTTGATGCATTATTTTCTCTACTGAATAATTCTGGTGATTATTTTTTTATATATTGCTTTTTCTATCAATTGGAAGAGACACTTAGTATGAATCAGAATGATAGTTGAATTATTTGATTTTAAGAAAACCTGCCCTTGTATGTTCCTCTCAGGAATTTTGGTCTATTGAGTTTTTTATTTCACTAATTCAGCAACTTACCATTACTTATTTAATTTTGACCCTGAAGAAGCCATGGGATGAATTAGTTATTCATTCTTCTTTAAGGAGTTTTGAATATCATAAGGGTGCCACAATAATAATAACAATTTAAGACACACCAACCTGATTTTGATAAGAGCAAAGGATGGTTATAGGATCAGAGGATACTGATAGATAGGTGGAGTGAAACTTGCTGAAGGGTTGGTAGGATCTCCAAGGGCAGAGAACAATCAGAATGAACAAAATGGCAAGAAAAGGAAAGCACAGGCTGAATTTGGGAAATATTATTTGATCCAGTATAACTAGAGTCAGTTTGGGATGCATGAAAGAAGACAAGCTGAAAGTTACACAAGAACTTCATTAGATGGTGGACTTGAGTGAAGGGCTGAGGGAGCTCTGTGAGCCAGGAAAAAACCATTTTAAGGTTTTCCTGGATCAGTTCTGTTTTAGAATGAAGACCAATGGGTTGAGGTACAAATTTCTGTCTGTTATATTCATTTTCCTCAAATCTGTTTTCGTTTTTGATATAGTTTTGTTTGATGCCAAGGGCAAATTACTTACATCTTTGGATATAATTCCTATTCCTCATTGTGCATCAACCATCTGTTCCAAACTTAACATGAAAAGTTAACCATTGGTTTGCAGATATAATCATAGTTTATAGGGACCTGTTGCTGTGTAGCCTCATGCCTTTTTGTCAGATTGGAACCTGCTTCAGCTATATTTTTCCTGTACACTAGAGAGGATGTCTGTGGGTCGGACCTTTCTTCTATAGCCTCCACATGTAAATGGTTGTGTTGGGGTCACCTGTATTAACTTCCTTCTCGTGGTGGAAGAGTATAATCCTCAAAAGATTACTTAATCATGCATAGTGCTGCTAAATTATTACTTGTTCTGTTCTCAGTGATTATATTTCTGTGTACTTTGGAATAATCTACCATTAATAAAATACATCCTGGAGTTATTTTCTGAGTCTTGGGAATGAGGTTATTCACCTATTCCCAATTTAGTAGCATACATAGCAAAGCAAGTGATTCAGGTTAGTTTCAATTACTGGGACAAATCTCAGGTATAGTTGCTTTAACTTAAAGTCTTCATTTCTCATAGATTAGGATTTTGTGCATTTCATATTATCCTGGCAACAAGTGAATTTCTTAAAAATACGCAGGTGTTTGGTAATGTTTTTAAATTCATTCTATTAACAAGTTTCCTCCTGTTTTTAAATAGTACGTATACATCTTGAGAATCTTAAAAGAATAGAAAACACTCTCTAGGACTTTCAGGTAAGGACATTTTTACCTGGACTCCATTCTTTCAGCCTGCATGTCTCCRTTAGGCTGCTCCAAGAGAGTGTGAGGTTATGTAGACATGATAGGTCTGATTTCTCATACATCCATAACTAAATTCAGACTTTGGAGCAAGTTCCAGATTCATACATGTAAATATTTTCATTACCTAAGTGATTCCACAATATCTCCAAATCTACATGGTCAGGAACAATCTTCTTCCCTCCTTTCCATACCTCATACTCTTGCTTCTCACCTCAGGCCACCCCCGCAAAACACTTCCACTTTTGTTGTAATTTTATCTAGATAACTAGCACTTTGGTTTACTCAGTTTCCCAAATCAGAAACTTGGGAGTAAATCTAAATTTCTCTTTATTACCAACCCTTCACAGTCAGCAGGCCTGGGCTCTTTTAGTTTGGTTGATTTCTTGGCATATCGTGGGTAATCTGTGATCAGGAAATCATTGCAATTGTGGAAACTGGGAAAGGCTAGAGAGTATACTTAAGCCAATATTTTTTAAGAGAAGAAAAGTTCTGAATGATATTAAAATATCACCTACTTAACAAAGCGTTATTCTTCTGATCACTTGTGTAAAGTAACAAAATTTTACAATCAGTGGCTTAAACCAGAAGTATGCTTAAACCTAGAGATAAATTGCCCCAGGGTTATTTCAGTAGTTCAGTTATGTCATTAAGAGCCAAGATTTTCCATACTCCTACTCATGGATAACTATACTTATTGGTCCTTATCCTTGGTTTGTCCCCTCATTGTTGTAAAATTATTACTGTAACACTGAACATGGTATCTTCATTCCACAGCACAATGTAAAGGAAGATAGAAAGGTGGGGCCTTTCTCTACATGTACCTCTCTCCTTTAACAGAAAGGAAAAGCCTTTGTCGGAATCATCCTTCCTCAAGAAATTGTCCAAAGTTTAGTCACATGTAACTTCTCAAGCGAGTGAATATCTGGCTTTTCTGGCCTGTATGGTAAGTTGCAAGGAAGGAAGGAAGAAAGAGTGTTGGAAATGACAGTAAGGATGTCTGTCACATATTTTACTTTATGAATAATCTTTAAATTGGTTATTCAAGTTTCACTGTTGCTTATCAAGTTCAGGCCCTTGTTATTGCTCTTTGTTATAATGATGGCCTTCTGACTAGTTTCAATCTCTGGTATTGCTTTTTTTAAAATTTCCATTCTGTTACCAAAGCAGCCTTTCTGAAACACAAATGATTGTGCTATTCCTCTGCTTAAAATTCACCTATAAAATAAAATTTAATGCTTTTTATGTTGGGCCCCTACCTGACAATTAAAGGCCCATCTTCTCCCCCTGTGTGTGTGTGTGTGTGCGCGTGCGTGCGTGCGTGTGTGTGTATATACACGCGCACACATACATACACACACACACACACACTCTGTGCTCTCACAATGAAAGTTTTTATTTATCCAAAAAGGATATCTTATGCCACTTCACACCTTGGTGTCTTGACACTGCTAGTCCTCTTGTCTGGAAATGTCTTGGTCCAGCATTGATGAGCTGTACCTCCTGCTCCTTCTGGCTATGGCTACATTGATCAGACTTGGGTGTATTTCTGTGCCCTAGTTGTCCTTTCTGCACGTCTCAATTGCTGCATGTATTATAATCCTGAGCATCCTATTATACTATAAATTCCTTGATAACATCATGATCACCACCAGTATCTGGAATAATG